GAGGGGATTCTCCCCCTCTACTCTGTTCTCATGAGATCCCTCCTGCAGTCCTGCATCCAGCTTTGAGAGCAACAACACAAGAGGGATGTGGAGCCGTAGGAGCAAATCCAGAGGAGGCCATGAAGATAACCAGAGGGCGGGAGCACCTCCACTATGGAGACAGGCTGAGAGATTTGGGATTGTTCAACCTGTAGAAGGCTCCAGAGAGAACTTGGAGAAGCTTCCAGTGCATAAAGGGGCTGATGAGAAATCTGGAGAGGAGCATTTTACAAGGTTATATAGGGACAGGACAAGGGGGAATGCCTTTAAGCTGACAGAAGGGGGATTTAGATTAGGTATTAAGAAATTCTTCCCTGTGAGGGTGGTGAGACACTGGCACAGGTTGCCCAGAGAAGCTGTGGCTGCCCCATTCCTGGCAGTGTTCAAGGCCAGCCTGAACGGGGCTTGGAGCAACCTGCTCTAGTGGAAATTGTCCCTCCCCATGTCAGGGGGTTGGAACTGGATGATCTTAAAGTGCTTTCCAACCCAAACCAGTCTGTGATTCTATGATTTTGTGAATATTTTAAGTAGACTATCATTATCAGCTGAGAGCATATCTAAAAGGATTGTAGTCCTTGACACTTCGTTACATCAACCTGAAAAAACTGCCCACAGATTAAGTCCTGACAAAGTCTGTCAGCTGGAGTTATGTGGTGAAGGGAGGTTATCTTGGATCTGAGCATCAGTGTGGACTGGATATAAGCAAATGTGATTTATTTCAACAGGAAGACACAAGGTTGTACACCATGAAAGAGTATATGGACCAAATGTAGCTTCTTTCTAGGAAACAGTGACTATAAATAATCTCAAATCATGGGAATAAAACAGATTGGTCTAAAAAAGTTACATGGATTTTAGGTTACATTGCAAAAAAAGATCATTTTCTGGATTTGGCTGCAAGGAAATACTGAGAACACCTACAGATCTTACATTAGGCCAGTATTTGGCTCAGCTGTGATTCTTTGCTGCATGCTGTGTGCATGTTTGGTGCCAGCAGTTGAAGAAACGTACAGAAAAAGCTGGGAAGAATTGCTTCAGGAATGAAAAGAAGGACAGACATGCTTGTCCTGGGTTCAGCAGTAGCAGTCATGTTTCTCCTCCTTGGTAGCTGGTGCAGTGCAGTGTTTTGACTTTCGGCTCGGGAACAGAGCTGATAGTGATGTTTTGATTTGGCCAAGGACTTTGTGAGCCTCATGCTCTGCCAGGGAGGAGGGGAAGCCGGGAGGAAGCAGAGACAGGACACCTGACCCAAACTGACCAAAGAGGTATTCCATACCACAGCACGTCATGCCCAGGATGTAACTGGGAGTTAGCCGGAAGGGCTGGGAGACTGCAGGGTTGGAGGAGGTATCGGTCGGAGCTTGGTCGGGCTTGGGGGGCGAGTTATCGGTCAGCGGGTGGTGAGGTGTTGTATTCTCTTCCCTTGTTATTTCCTTTATCATTATTATCATTGGTGGTAGCAGTAGTGATTTGTGTTATACCTTAGTTACTAAACTGTTCTTATCTCAACCCGTGGGAGTTGCATTCTTTTGATTCTCCTCTCCGTCCCTCCGAGAGCAGCGGGAGGGCAAGAAAGGGGGGGAAGTGAGCGAATGAATTACCTGACTGGGTTTAAACCACGACAATGCTTTATAACCAAGACTCAGGAAGTGAGACCTATCTGGTTTTGATTTTGGTATGTTAGTAGATAAACTCAATGGATACATACACAAATGAAACAGGTACTTCATAAGGAAATGTTCCAAGCTATCAGACAAAGGTAAAACAAGGTTTACTTGCATGGTCTTTACAAAGCAGTTTCAACATAGTCATAGCTATGGGGGAATCATAGAATCACAGAGTGGTTTGGATTGGAAGGGACCTTAAAACTCATCCAGTTCCAATCCCCTGCCATGGGCAGGGACACCTTCCACTAGAGCAGGTTGCTCCAAGCCCCATCCAACCTGGCCTTGAACACTGCCAGGGATGGGGTAGCCACAGCGTCTCAGGGCAACCTGTGCCAGTGTCTCACCACAGTAAAACTTCTTCCTAATGTCTAATGTGGTATAAACATGGTACAAATACAGAAGATTTTGTTTTCTTTCAAAACTGTAGTGGTAACACATCTTATTCACATTAGGAAAGTCAGCTATATCATGATTCAAAAGAAAATAAGCCAATATTTCTTGATATAAGGACACTGAAACTGGTACTTAAGCCTAATATAATGCTGAGCCCACCTTTTCAAACCAACCCCCCAAAAAAAGAATCATTCAAAGGCATCCATTGACAGGCTGCAGGACTGGTGCCTTTGGAAAACACAGCACCAACAGTAGTGTGGAGTTCCTCTCCCCATTTAACCCCCTTTTTTATGTGTTCAGCACATGGATCTTCTCTCCTCTAGTGAATCAGTTTAACCAGCCCAATGACTCAAGATACTTTGGCAAGTAAATTAAATCTTTGTGTAGTAGGGACACCTAAATGATCTGTGTCAATAACAAGCATGACTTCTTCCTTTCAAACTTTTCTAGAAAGATTTTTGGGCATGTTGGCAAAATGAGTAACAACATTAAACAACAAGGAGGAGAGCTCTTTCCTGGGGAAAAAAAAACAGTCTGGTCCTGTATGATCTGGCAGAGAACACCCAAAACTCTGCATCAGTAAAAAGAGTCTTAGATTTGGGCTGACTCTTGCTTATGAATAAAACATGTCTTTTAACAGCTAAATAATCTCATTACATACATCCAGCCCGGTGCCTGCTGTCACCATTCATCACAGAATCACAAAATAGTTGGGTTGGAAGGGACCTTCAAAGCTCATCCCCCCCCTCTGCAATATCATGGACATCTTCAACTAGATCAGGTTGCCCAGAACCACATCCAGCCTGGCCTTGAATGTCTCTAGGGATGGAGCATCCACCACCTCTCTGGGCAGCCTGTGCCAGTGTTTCACCAAGCTCATTGTAAGGAATTTCTTCCTCGTGTCCAGCCTGAATGTCGCATCTTTTAGTTTAAAACCATCACCCCTTGTCTTAGCACAACAGGCCCTGCTAAAAATAAATACTTGTGTGTGTTCACTGTATGTCTAGATGGGTGTAAATGCCTTCCCGCGCCAAAAAAAAAAAAAAAGAATTTCTGCCACAATCTGGATTCTAAAAGTAAAATAAGTACCAGATTCTCACTCTGAAATTCTGCATGGTGACAGCTTTTTCCAACCTGGGTGACTTTGGAGTTGCCCGATTGCTGACACCATGCTTGGGTGTTCCAGCTGTGAGCACTTCACATAACCTGAGAGTTTTTTGTTGAACTAAATTTACCATTGTAAAATGCCTTTGGTTGTCCAGACAAGAATACTGACTGGACAGGATGAAGTGGCGATCCTAGATTTACACTGCAAAACACAACAGATGACTGAAATTAAATCACCAATTATTAATAACTCATCATTATGCCACTGTGTTCTGGGCCCCTCACTGCAAGAGAGATATTGAGGTGCTGGAACAGGGCCAGAGAAGGCCAACGGAGCTGGTGCAGGGCCTGGAGCACAAGTGTGATGGGGAACGGCTGAGGGATCTGGGGGGTTCAGTCTGGAGAAGGCTCATCGCTCCCTGCAACTGCCTGACAGGAGGACGGAGCCAGGACAAGGGATGGGACAAGAGGAAACGGCCTCAAGCTGAAACAGGGCAGGTTTAGACTGGGTATTAGGGACAATTTCTTCCCCACGAGGGTTGTCAAACACTAGAACAGGCTGCCCAAGGCAGTCGTGGATTCACCATCGCTGGAAGTGCCTAGAAGACGTGCAGATATGGTGCTAGGGGAAATGGTGGACTTGGCCGTGCTCGAAGAACGGGTGAGCTTGATGATATTGGCGGCATTTTCCAACTGAGTTGCTTTTGTGATTCCGTGATTCTATTTTACCACGCTAACACCTGAACAGCGCCAACCCGCCGCCAAGCTTCCTTCCCCTCCCCACCACTTCCGCCTCCGTCGCCTCCCGATAACCCGAGCAGCTCCGCCAGCTGCCAGGACCCCAGCCCGGGCTGCCCCTTGCACTGCCTGACTCCCGCCAGTCGGAAGCTCCGCTTGGCGAGCCGGCCGGGGCCGTAGCGACAGTGCGATCCGGCGGCGCTGCTCTTCCATTCGCGCTTGGGTGCCGCGGGGCGAGCGTCCCTGTCTCGGTCGCGGCGGTGCTGTCGGTCAGGCAGCAGGGCTGACATCCCGGCAGGGAGCGCGGCGGGCGTCGTGAGGGGAGAGGAGAGAAGGGGCCTCGCGCGCCGGGAGGGGCCGCGGCTGGCGGAGGAGGTGTCGCTCCCCGGAGGCCGGGCCCATGTCCGCGCCGGGCGCAGGTAGCGGGCCTGAGGCGGGGGGCACCGGCCTTCTGTGAGGGCGACCCGGAGGGTGGGGCCGTGCCGTGGTGTTGTGGGGAGGAAAGCCTGGGGAAGGCGGGGGAAGGGTACAGGGCCCTGCCCTAGGTGGGGGCCGTGAGGGGGCGCGGATTCGTTTGGGCTGAAGCGCCCCGGGGTACAGGGGCCGTGAGGGTGAGGAGGGGAAGGAGGAGGGCGGGCGAGGGTGGGAATACCCGCAGCGCGCTGAGAGCCGGTGGCAGGGACTGGTGGCTGTTTGTCCCAGGAGGGCAGAGCACGGAAGGTGCCGGCTTGTGGGGAAGCCCGCGGGTGCGGGCTGGCATGAGGGACGAGCTGTTAGCTGAGAAGTCTTTTGCTCCGCGTGCAGTCAGTGGTTTGCCTGTAGGCCTCTTTCTCAGTGGGAAGCGTGCTCCTACAGATCTGACAGCAAAACACCTTCTCCGAGACGTATCGAAAGTAAAAGTGCCCGGCTGGTTGGGCACCTTGTAGAGGGGTCTCTGACCTGCACTGGAATTTCCTGCACTGCTCTGTGTCTCATCTTTCAGTACTTGTGGTTAAGTTTGTTTCCTACTGATTGACCTGACTGGTATTTTTATAATACTCCTTCCATTTAAGAGAAACCTTAATTGAATTTTACTTCTTGGAATGTTTGTATTTCTCGGGGTGTAATTTCTAGCAATGGAGCAGTTTGTTGTTCTTTGAAGGTTTTCAGCTGGTCAGGACTGGGACATCTTGCCTACATTCTTTATTTCCTTTATGTCTTTTGTAGCTGTATAAAGGAATGTTTATGTGATTGTTTTAATGTCCAGTAGCAGTAAAAAAGAATGTGAAATATCTCAGTGTGTTTAGTTTAATTTTTCCCTCCCATACTTGCATTTGCAAGGATTGAGATTCTGGTTTATAACAATAAGCTAATTTTATTGATTTGAGGGGATTTAGACATACCAGGCCAAGGTGTTGATAGTTGTCCTTTTATTCTGAACGGTGTCTAGATTAATAATGCTGAATACTTAATATGAGTCTTTGATTTCCTTGAGAGTAAGTACATAGATTGATCTCCCCCCCCCCCCCCCCCCCCCCCGAAACGCTGCCTGTATTGCAACACTGCTTCTTGAGTTTATGGGCCTAGAGTTTCATTAGCCCAATCCAGTCAGTTTTTCAAATTCCAGGAAGATGAAATTGGGAGCAATAAAAGATTTCTTAACAAAGATTGAATTAAAGTAGGTTAAATAGTGAAAAATCAAGAGAAATAATTTTCTCCTGGAAAATAATATGTGTAAGTGATGAAACCAAGATGACAAGAGTGTAAAGGCATCTGAATGTCACTATGGAAATGGGCTGCCAAGAGTCCAAATGAATATGGACCCTTGTGTCTTCTCTGTCCTTTCTCAGTTTCAGCTGCAAGCGCCTGTTCTTTGTATCTATTACCTTATGAAGTTCATGTTGTTATTGTGCCTTTTCATTGGTGCATTCACATATTATCTATTAAATAAAAGTTCTCTTAATGCTTTTCTCTGAATGTTTCCTTACTGTTCCTTAATCTGGCCCAAACTGTGTATATTCAGCCTTATTGCCTATGGAAATGAGACCCAGGCAAGCCTGCTGCCTTCTGTTTCCTTTTTAATCTGCTTCCCACAACTTTTGAACCTTTTGGCCAGTTTCAGCCAAATTCAGCAGATGCTTTGAAGGTCAAAATGTTCTGCAGGTCTTGGGATAACTGACAGCTGAGGCAAAGTACCAAGGTCTTAAGTTACCATTCTTGATGAGGGAAGGGTGACAGCATCAGCTCAGTGGACAGTTGTGTTCTGGCTGTGCTGTTGGCCACCGCTTGTGTGCTGCCCAGTGAACCACCCTGTGTGTAGCTTGGAGGCAGCAACTGCACCTCCTGCCATCGGTGGTGGGTACACATAAATGAACTAGCAGCCTTATCAGAAGGGTTTGTGAGATAAGGAGTTGTGTACGTAGCAGGTAGTGAGCAGCATTATAACACTGGTATTCTGTGATACAGGACATAAATCTATTATAAACTAGACTGTGGGGTGGTTTTGGTCACCAGTGTTCTTGGGGGAGCCATGGATAATACTGCCTTGTGGAAACCACAATGTACCCAATTATATTCCATCCCTTTTCTGGTTATTCAATTCTTCTCTATTTTGACTTTATACAAGCAAGTGTCAGATATGTCTTTAAAACAGAATTTCGAGTTCCTACCTCTCATAAGAGTTGGAGTACTGTAATGGTGTTGGTAAAAGTTACATGTGTAGCTGGATGTTTGGTTTAGTTTATTTTTTTCCAAACTGTAATAGAATACTAACAACAGCTGAGGGACAAAGGTAAAAGCAGGAGCATTGCAATTGTGACATGCCTTTCCAGCATTCTTTTAATCAACCAACCCTTTTCTCCTTTGTTTTTCTTTTAAATTTTGCTCCTAATTTGCCTTTTAGAATTGGAAATATTTTTTTTAATAAATGTGGGGTTTTTTTAATGGATTTCTTGGTGAAAGACATTTTAATACAATTATTAGCCTCATGCAGTGTTCTCATGGAAATATTTGAATGCTTTCCTTTCAAACCCGTTTTGTTAGAAGTGGTAGGAGAGAGATAGTTTAGACATCTCAAACTGATGGAACTTCCAATGTGGATTTGTAGTGAAAAAAGATTAATAAATAGTTATCGTTGCGTTTGAAACAGAACATGCAGAGGATTTGCACCTCCCACATCTGTGAGGAACAGGTGCCACCTAACTGGCCTACAGAGATAGAAAAATTAGTTCAGACCTTTAATATGAAGGAATTTGGGGACATGGTTAGTTTTCTGGGTTTTGTCAATTCCATAAGTACTGATTTCATAATAAAAGTGCTTTAAGATGACGTAGATCAGTGTTTTTAAAATCCAAGTAGTTCTGAGGTGTTGAGCTGTGAATTTTTTTAATTGCAGACATGCATTAGAGAGCCAAAATTGCCAGTAGTTGTTAAAGAAATGCTGATTTGATTAGGCTAGCTTCCATTAATCAGTGTCAGAAACATTTCTTCACTGGTGCTGTTGCCAGTTACTGTCAGGGAGGCCAAGTCCTGAATAGGTTTTCCAGTGATAAGTTCTCACTGCCCATATCTGAATATCCTGTGAAGTTATGCAAACAATTTTTTCTTCAGAAGACCTGGACAAGCATCTTCAAATTTGTAACACAGCATTCCATATGGGATATAGTCAGTGTATAGATCTACTGTTTTGTTAGAAACAGAGATTTTTTTGTGTGATATCTTACCTAGAAATAGCTTTCAAAGTAGTTAAAAATAATCTTAGAAGTGCTCTACCTTATGTTGGGTTCTACAAATAGAAATGATTTAGCCTGAAGTAAATAAGGTTTAGGTGGTAGTAATTGCTTCTTTCCTCTCTGTCCCTCTCTGATCCTGGACATGAGTCAGCAGAATGCCCTTGCATTAAGGCTAGCTACAGTCTAGTCTATAGTAATAAGAGTTACCCAGCAGGCTGGGGAAGATGAGTCTTCCCCTCTATTGGTACTTACAAACCCGTATCTGGACACCACATCTGAGAAAGGTATTGACATGCTGGAGAAGTCCATTGGAGGGCCACCAAGATCATTAGGAGACTTGGAGAACTGGGGTTCTTAATCTGTGAGAATAGAAAGTCTTATTACTGTCTACAAAAACCTAACAGGAGAGTATGGAGAAGATGGAGCTGGATTCTTGTCAAAGCTATACAGGGATAGGATGGAAAGAAACTGACAAAAGACAGGGTGTAGCAAATTTCGGCATGTTATCAGGAAAAGCTTTTTCACAGTGTTGTTATTGGGATTCATGAGCAGGGGGACAGAAGGGGCTGTTACATCTCTGTCCTTGGAGATACTCTGAATTTAGCTAGCCAAACCCCTGCTTTGACTGGACCTGCTTGGAGCAAGGGCTTGAACTAGGTAACCTTCACAGTTTCCTTCCAATCTAAACTGTTATGCGAGTCTACCCTTTGTTCATCACTGCATGTTGTAATTTTATATCCTGGGCCAAATGAAACTAAAGCTTAGAGGGCTAGAAACCCCAAAGATGCAAAATTAACTCCTACAAGTCCCCAGAAGAACATTGGTTGAGTAGAAAGAGATATAAACTGGAGCCTTTGGTAACTCCTGATAATTGTAGCCTATCAGCTATTATTTCCATTCATTCTGCTGTCAGGGAGGTTTGTGTATACATCTTAGCACAGTGTGCTCTGCCAGCTGTTACTTGTGCTGTATGGAAGAGTGTTTGAGGTGACTGGGGAGATCTTGGGAGGCATGAGGAAAGAGGGGATCAAGATGATGCCTTTTCATAGTGAGGACAGTCAATCACTGGAGCAGGCTGGCTAGAGGGGTACTGCAGTGTCCTTCCTTGGCAGTTGTGCTGTGGTTTAACCCCAACTGGCAACTAAGTACCAGGCAGTTGCTCACTGGGGGGGGGTGCAAAACCTGTGGGTTAAGATAAGAACAGTTTAATAATGGAAATAAAAGATAATCATAATAAAATGATACAGGAATAAAACCCAAGGGAGGCAAGTTATGCTCAATACAATTGCTCACCACCTGCTGACCCATGCCCAGCTCATTCCCAACCAGTGGTCAGCCTGTTCCAGCCAACTCTACCTAGTTTCTATACTGAGCATGACTTTCTATGGTGTGGAATATCTCTTTAGCTGGTTTGGATCAGGTGTCCTGTCTCTGCTCCCTTCCAGCTTCTTCTGCTCTTCCTCACTGGCAGAGCATGAGAGACTGAAAAGTCCTTGACTTAAACTAAGGACTCATTACCGACAACTGTGTGTGATCAGTTTATTCTCAGACTAATACCAAAGCACAGCACTGCACCAGCTACTAGGAAGAAAATTAGCTGAAACCAGAACAGTTTTCAAGCCTAGAGCAGTCTTCTCTGACCTCATGGCTGACCCTACTTGGAGCAGGGGGTTAAACCACTTGAGGTTCCATCTAATGCGTGCTGTCCTGTGATCCGAACTAGAGGTAGTGGAAGTGGAGTCATTCTTAGGTGACATGTAGAAAGGTCAGTGAGGTTCAGGTGCATGTGCTTTCAAAAGTCTAGGATGTTTCGTGAGATGGAATTCTATTCATAGAATCATAGAACAGTTAAGGTTGGAAAGGACCTTAAGATCATCTAGTTCCACCTCCCCTGCCATGGGCAGGGACACCTCACACTAAACCATATCACCCAAGGCCTCGTCCAGCCTGGTCTTGAACACTGCCAGGGATGGAGCATTCATGTTCCAAGATCTTGTATTCCCCTGGTTTTAGAAACTTCAGGTGCTTTTACATCACAGTTCATGCTGAAAATATAACACTGGCAAAATGATTAGTTTTTACACATTCTAGGTCCATTCTTTAGCTCAAGAAAACTTGCCTGAAACCTTTATTTTATTCTTGTAAGTCAGACATTCATGAGTTATCTTAGTTAAGAACCGAGTGAATATGGATGGGCTGTGGAAGAGAGTAATGCATCAAAAATAAGTTAAAAGTACTTCTTTTCCTGTGTTTCTGTAGGCTTGCCTGGGTAACACAATGCCAGCTGAGCGCAAAAAGCCACCAAATATGGAAGAAAAAGAATCTCCCTTAAATAATAAAGAAAAAGAATTTACTGAAAGGCGACCAGTGAGCACCAGGGAAAAGCCAAAAGAAGATGTCAAGGTTGGCATGAAGAGAGAGACTCTAAAGGTTCCTGATGACAAAAAGAAAAAACTGGAAGAGGATAAAAGAAAAAAGGAAGACAAGGAGCGGAAGAAAAAAGAAGAGGACAAAGTAAAGGCAGAAGAAGAGCAGAAGAAGAAAGAAGAGGAGGAAAAAAAGAAACTTGAAGAAGAGGAGAAAAAGAAACAAGAGGAGGAAGAGAAAAAGAAACAAGAAGAAGCAGCTGCTCAACTGAAGTAGGTTGTGTTTAATGGTTTAATTGTGCTGAATGCTCTAGTCCTGCTGTTAGGGTTATAGGCAGAATTATAAGAGATGAACTGTTTGACTTACAGTAAGTTGTATGTAGCATTATAAGTTCCAAATAGCTAGCTCAGTATGCATTGTGACTTCCACATAGTTCTGAGTTTTCACCTCTAACCTCTGTTACTTTAGTCTCTAATACAGGGCTTTGATAGCTCTGTAGGCCAGTTAGGAGGGACCCTATTACCAAGACACAGTGTGTTATCAGAAGGTACTACAGTGTTGAAGATAACATCTTTAGGCCAGCAAAGCCAATTTCTGGATGTTCTTATGTTTGAAATACATCATTTTCGAAGAGTCAGGCAATGTCATAGCCAAATTCTATCTCGTACAGATGTATTTCACCTACTTAAGATTTTCAGTAGTCTGGGAATAAAAGATTTCCCTTCACTGTGTAGTTCAGTAACCTGTAGAAGGGTTGTTATTCTCTTCTGTAAGAACTTCCTCTCTGTCTGGAGTAAATGGAGTTTTATGTTTGTATCTTCAAATTTGTTGGGATTAGTATGTTCTGCATAGAAATACTTGATAAATTTCACTTTGTTACAAGCAAAAAAAAAGAGATTATTTAGCAGGTGCTTTAGCTTTCTGGGATTAACTTTTAATATTTAAAAACAAACTATTAAGGGGAAATTATGTTTAGAACTACTGAGAGGTTTCCAACTAAGCCTTTTTCTCCTTTGAACTGTTAACCTGAAATCAGTTTCTGTAATGAAAATGACTAACTTTTATTTCTCTTAGAGAAAAAGAGGAAGCCCATCAGCTCCATCAAGAGGCTTGGGAGCGCCATCAGGCGAGGAAAGAGCTTCGCAGCAAAAACCAGAATGCACCAGACAACCGCCCTGAGGAGAACTTCTTCAGCAGACTGGATTCCAGCCTGAAGAAGAACACAGCTTTTGTTAAGAAGCTCAAAACCATTACAGAGCAACAAAGGGACTCCTTGTCCCATGACTTTAATAGCCTGAATTTAAGCAAATACATTGCAGAAGCAGTAGCTTCTATTGTGGAAGCCAAACTGAAAATATCGGATGTGAACTGTGCAGTGCACTTATGTTCCCTCTTTCACCAGCGCTATGCTGATTTTGCTCCTTCATTACTTCAGGCTTGGAAAAAACATTTTGAAGCAAGGAAAGAAGAGAAGACTCCCAACATTACCAAGTTAAGAACTGATCTGCGTTTCATTGCAGAATTGACAATAGTTGGGATTTTCACTGACAAGGAAGGTCTGTCTTTAATCTATGAGCAGCTTAAAAACATTATTAACGCTGATCGAGAATCCCACACTCACGTTTCTGTGGTTATCAGCTTTTGTCGGCACTGTGGAGATGACATTGCTGGTTTGGTACCAAGGAAAGTCAAAACTGTTGCAGAGAAGTTTAATTTGAGCTTTCCTCCTAGTGAGATAATTAGCCCAGAGAAACAACAGCCCTTCCAGAATTTGCTGAAGGAATACTTTACATCTTTGACCAAACACCTGAAAAGGGACCACAGGGAGCTACAAAATATTGAAAGACAAAACAGGTGACACTTGAATGTTGCTTTTTATTTATGGAGAAAAAAGTAGTTTATTTATGAAATGTTCAGATTTGTTGCGGTATTTGAAAAACACAGTCTGTTAACGGTGTATAGAAGTGTATTCTGCAGTGCATCTAAGAAAAAGTTACAAATTTGCTCTGAATACTTAAAAAGCAAAACCCAAACAGACTCTTTCAATATCTTTAAAGAAAGAGGAGGCTGATCTTTGGCTTTAATTCTTTTAACTCTATTAATTTAATGATGTTTCCTTGGCAGCTTGAGAATGACACTCCTTCCCCAGCTGGTGCTGTCCTTTCCCAGTTGGCACGATCTACCCACACGGAGCATATGCCACCATGGCTTTGGCTTATTTTTTGCTAGTGTACCAATATGGAGGAAAAATGAGGTTAGATTAACTAGGTATCCCTTGCACTTTAGTGTGGGCAAATTCATACATATTAAAATATTGGAGTTTATAGACAGTTTGATTCAAATCCTCTTAAATGTCTGTATGAAATACTAATATTGAAGGGTATGAGTATACAAACCTTTGAGATCTGGGTAATTTCTACCATTATGACATTGTTTAATAATTGTTTGCCATTTCCTTAAAGCATCCTGAGTTGCCATTATTGGAGCCAGCCTAAAGCCAACTGCTGGTCTTGAAACACGGTCATTATTAAATCCTTTTGGAAGCATTCCAGGCAGATAGAAATAAACATGTTACTGCATGTGTAGGCCCAGGTTTCAACTAAAAAGCTGAACATCAATCCAGAGCAAAATGTATGTGTGGAATACATTAACATTTAGTGTTCCCAAACCAAGGCTTTGAACTCGTATCCATTGTGCGGACTGGTATTGTTCTGCAGTCCTGTCCAGCGTCAAGTGTTGTATTTCACAGGACCATCAACTGACTTGGGAGCTACTATTAATTCTGCAAATATCTTTTACTTTAAAGTGTGTTGTTGTGACTTAGTCGTTTGGTTGGAGGTTTTTTTTTAAGGTAATGGATATAACTTTTACACTTGCATACAGAATTATGGTTGGTTCTGGGCATATTGGTTCTGGCTGGAATGTTATTGAGTGAGTATTATAAAGTTTGTATAGTAGGCAATAAACTATAGGACATAGAAAGAATGTTAAGAGACCATGAAGAAAGAATGTGAGTGATCTGGGAGAGGGAAATACATGGTAATATTTAAGTGCACACTAGATAAGAATGACTGGATAGAGCTCTAAGCCTGGTCTGATCTCATCAGTGAGCCTGATTTGAGTAGATCAGACTAGAGACCTCTTCATGAACCTCCTCTGAATTATCCCTATCAACTGGGTGTAAAGCTTTGCTTTGGGAAAGGAATGTGAAGAACTATAATTTATCACTGGATTAAGATAATCCTATTATTTATCTGAATTTTAAGGTGTTTAACTGTTTAATAAAAGTCGGGGAATAAGTTTTGTTAAAGAAACAAGACATCAAAACTGTTTCTTGCCTAATTCTATTTGCTTACAACATGTCTGTAACAGATATTGGCATTGCAGCTATGGAAGTGCAGGGCAGAAACTTGCCTAGTAAGTCTGTGAACATTACAGTAATACTCCTAAACTGTGACTGTGTGGTTGGTTGGTTGCTTGCTTTTTGTTTCTTTTGGGTGTTAGTTTTTGGTTGTTTGGTGTGGTTGCCTTTGGTTTGTTTTAAAAAGAAAAAGCAATAATCCTATTGGAAAAAACAGTCATCTGTGTATTTGAAACCTGATCTACTTTGCTGATAGCCACAGCTTTTATGCCCACTGTTAGTCCAGAGCTAATAAAGTGAACAGGGAGGGAGCAAACTGTTCCTTCCTGTGCATCAACAATTTCATATATTTAGGTTGTGATATTTTGTCAGGTAAATACCTCTTGAGTTTATCTATGTCAGGAGAGTGTAAAATAAATTGTGCAGGTTTGTTGGTTGAGTTGAAAATTAATATGCTAACTCTAAGGGATGGTGAGACACTGATACAGGTTACCCAGAGAAGCTGTGGCTGCCCCATCCCTGGCAGCATTCAAGGCCAGGTTGGATGGGGCTTGGAGCAACCTGCTGTAGTGGAAGGTGTCCCCCTGCCCATGGCAGGGTTTGGAAGTGGATGAGCTTTAAGGTCCCTTCCAACCCAAACCAGTCTGGGATTCTATGATACAATTTCAGCCTCAGCAGTGCTTTGTGTTGTGCTTGTGTTATCTGTTGAATCATAGGTAAAATGAAAGCATTGTTAGACACAAGGGTTTCTGCAAGTGGATAATTAGAACTACCTTGAGTTACGCTTTGACAGTAGAGCCTGGTGATCTTTTTGGTTACACAGCTGCGGGCACAGCAAAGTCTGTGCAGGCTGTGTCACTGGAAGGAACCATTTGTTTCCAAAATTCTGCTGGGAGTTTTCAAAAATGAGTGTTAGATATGAAAAGAAGCTGCTTTGGTCTAAAGAATGTTTTTAAAATCTGCTGAACTTGCATTGTGGCACTGCCTGAAGTTCTGAAGAGACATGCAGTAAGAAAAATACTGTGTGCTGTACTTTTAATTGTATTAAAATCAATTGTGCTTTTAAAATCTGTTCAGGATGCTTTAGCTTCCTTGATTTGTTAACACTTGTCTTTTGGGAACTGAAACTGAGAACTGAAGTTCTTGTACTATTGTTATAGCACTTTGCTTTTTTGGTTTTTAATAATAGCACAGCTTCAGTGCTCCTGTTTGAGGCTTCTGTTTTGTTTTAAACTCATAGTAAGTATGCAGTGGATAGCTGTATCCATGAAAAGGCTGTGAATTGGCACTTCGCGTGTTTCCTGAATCCAAACTGCACTACTGCACTTCAGAAATTATCAGAGGTTATTTGATTTGTTAATTTTTCTTGTTCTACTTTGCAGGAGCAGTTGATATGTGTTACATAGGTGTGTGAGGGACAAGAAATTGAACTTTTGCTTCTTGCCCTCTAGCAAGACACATGTGCCAAGTTTTGATCCTGAGCAGATACAAGGGATTTTGTTGCTTGCCCTGTGAATGTGTTGTGTATGAAGATGACTTCTGTTTTATAGTCAACCTGGAACTGGCAAAAGCCAAGACTGATATCCTTCAACTTACATTGCTTAAACTAGTCTGAAAGTTTTATGCCATAAAACAGTTGTTTTTTTTGGCAAGAACATGATGGTATACTTATTGCTTAATGAAAGCCTAAAGGTAATGTAATGATACAACCTCCTTTAGGAATTAGGACATTTGCACCCTATTTCAAACTTCTTCTCATGCTTTCATCTCAGTGCAGAGTGCATTGTCAGTGGTTACAGCTGATTAGTCCAATGTTACCAGCATTATTCAAGCTACTGTAAAACACATTGGAATCTTGCTAGGCAAGCTCATTCTGTCCTTTGAAAAGCTTTCTATTTTGAAAACCTGTGTTTCATCTGAGCTTGTTTGTATCTTTGCAGTAGTAGGAGCCCAAGATGAGGACAAACTAGAACATTGGTACTGTGCAATCAGCTTATTCTTAGTTACCCCAAAATCAAGGATGACAGTCTTTAATCAGTCTTCTGTAGAAGGCAAAATCTTTGTACTAGCAAGTATTACCTTGTTCTGTATATTTGGTTCAAACTAATGAAAATTCTTGATATTTTTGTTTAAAATCCAGATGGCCTTAACTGTAGTTTGGTAAGAAAATTGAGTTGTACTTTATTGTGTGTCAGCAGTGATCTGTTCTTTCAAATGTAAGTTGCTTTTGAGAACAGATTTCAGTTTTAAAAATGAAAGCATGGATATTTTCATAAAAGAAAACACAAAGCAAATGGAAAAACACCCCGAACTGCTCTTCATTTGGACTGGTAGTCTTGAAATAACTTGATTTGTTGGGAAGTGAACAGGGTGCTTTTAACATGCAACTTGTCTGAGACTCTGGCAGTGATTGCCCATTGAGTCATTTGAACATGATGGAAATGTGTTATTACAGATGTAAAGCAACTTTTATCCAACCTTCATCTCAGTTGAATGTTTTAATTTACTGCAAGTCTTTTCATAGTGCAGGACTATTACAGGATAATCATGGCAAAAAATAAGTTGCTTTTTCTTGTTGGGACACTGAAGTTAAAGCTTCTGTAACTCTACTGAACTCAAGGATACTGAAGTCAGTAGTTCAATATGGTTGTTTGGAAGAAAAAGTTGTGTTGCTCTAAGTTTTTGCTACTGTGGTCTAAACTAGAATTCTGCAGAAGAGAAGTCAGCTCTGCTCACAGAAATTGATAGTAGTTCAGCATAACTTGAGTAGATTTTAAGAAAAGTTGCCTTACTGTCACTTGATTTTTGTAGGCGCATCCTTCACTCCAAAGGAGAGCTGAGTGAAGATCGGCACAAGCAATATGAGGAATTTGCAATGTCATATCAGAAGCTGTTGGCAAATTCTCAATCTCTGGCTGATCTTTTGGATGAAAATATGCCTGACCTTCCCCAAGAGAAACCAGCACCTGAGGGTAGGCCATCTTCTAAAGGAAGTAAAGGGAATGCTGGGCTTGGCTTGGATGTGGTGGGAAAGCCAACCAAACCTTCTTACTGATGTGTTCTTTCCATTGATTTCTTTTTAGTTAGGCTTTCCGCTTTAAGGATGACAATGAACAAACATTACATTATTATTTTAATTAAAGTAATTAAACCTGACATGTAACCATAACTATTGTATATGCCATGTAGTTACAGTAATTTAAGTAATATCCCTTTAGATTTGTTTCAGGTAATATAGGAATAAATGGAAAATTATTTTGACCTAATAATTTCCATTTAATTTAATGCATTTTAAATACTTGAAGGACTGTATATGTTAGAGTTTCAAATACTGATATTGTTCAAAAATGGGTTTGAAGTATATTTTGGGTCATGATGTTATGAGCAGGAACATATTGTTAAACCAGATACGTCACTAGGTGGCTCTCCTACCTGCTGAGAAGTGCATCTTTTAACTGGCAGAGTTGTTGAATGCTGTAAATCTCAGATCTTTCATTCAGAGATGTTGTTGAGTGCACCTTTTGTCTGAAGTGATCTTGAGCTTAAAAAAAATATATTTCCTGAATGCCTCTAAATTTAAAATTATTATTATTTTTAAACATCCGTTCTTGCAATACCGTGGGGTACAGTTCAACATACTCAGTGATTACTTCCTATGTTAATGTGGTTAAAATCTGGTACAGCTTTTCTTTCTAAAACCACATAATGTGCTGATTGACTTCACTTGACTGACTTGATTTGACTTTGTGTTTTCTATCAATGTAAAATTTGCAATTTTAAGATAACTTACTGATGCATCTAATATTACAATTGGGTAGTTAAAAGCATTTTAAAGTACATATTACAATATTTCAGTTGAAACAGCAGTGGTAATAAATGTTTCTTAAAGCATTTTGGTTTTAATCTTCAAAGGTGCCTCCCTTTAGAAGATCAGAAATTTGTGTAAGTAACTTTCTTGTGGTTTCACTGTTTTTGCAGAACACGGACCTGGCATTGATATTTTCACACCAGGAAAGCCTGGAGAATATGACTTGGAGGGGGGTATCTGGGAAGATGAAGATGCCAGAAACTTCTATGAGAATCTCATCGACTTAAAGGCTTTTGTACCAGCAATTTTGTTTAAGGATAATGAAAAATGTTCCCAGAACAAGGATTCTGGCAAAGATGAATTAAAAGGTAGAATGCTTCAATGAGTATTAAAGATGTCTTGTCTAACAGATACGCAAATTTGATGGAAGTAATGAGTCTCTAATGAAATAATTTGTGGTGAGCAAGTCAGTACACCAGTTTGGAGAAATTTTTAGGGAAGAAACTGTAGGGTAAGTATTATATCTGGGATGTAACCTGCTTTAGGAATTATGGCATTTATCTTCTGATGCTTTCAGTACAGGGTGCATTGTCAGAGGTTACAGCTAGTTTAAGTCAGTGCATTTTAATACTGATAGAAGTTGAAGTTTAAAATAATTGGAGATTAACCAGTGTAAGTAAATATTAACTTTGCTGTGCAAAACCTAAAAGCTTATCATCTTTGCAAGATGTTAGTGTTCATTCTGTGTTTTCCACTAAACTGTTAATGATAGCTAACTGTGTCTCGCTGTAAAGTTCCAGTAGATTTAAAGGTCTGGAAGGTTCCTCACTTTGGACACAGGTTCACAGCCAGGCATTGGTAGACTTTAGTTACAGTAGGATAAAAATTACATTCGCCATCACTGGCTCAGAGTGTAACAAAAGATGTATATTTGCATCGCAGCAGTGTTTTGGCATTGAGGAAATGCCAACGAAGACACAGACTACACAATTTTCTAATACATGTGCAGTAAGCCAGTGTTGAGTATGAATGGAATTTAAACTTTAGAACTCGTGGCCTTCTTTCTGATCTTTAAACTCTGAAATTTCCCTGTGAGGATAATGAGGGATATTGGCCCAGGGAGGTTGGAATCTCTGTTTGAACAGATTTTTCAAGACAACTGCAAAAATAATACCTGAGAAATTTGGTGTGAATACATTGCTTATCCACTTTGAGCAAAAGGCTGAAGACCTCATCAGTGTCCATTCCAGACTAATTTAGTCTCTGATTTTAACCAGGTTGCCTGCTTTGTGAGTCTGCTACTTAATTCCTTATGATGTGTGCACTGCTTAGAAGTTGTCGTGTTTTTGTTTGAAAAATTTAAGTATTTTAATAAGGTTATTTGCCTTGAAAATGCTATTTTTTTTAATGAAGCATAGTCTGCAAATGAGTTTTGAAGGAGGCCTGAAAGAGTAACAAAATGGTAATCTCCTGAAAAAAAAAGCTCTATGTTGGACCAGTGTTGTAGTTCAAGAAAAACATTAGCTATTCCTTCTGAATCTTCATCTAGAGATGCACAAATTATTTGTTTTCAAGGAAAATGTGATTTTTATTTGACCTTCTATATAACATATTTTAATCGGTACCTTCCTCCTGTTCTGTTTTTTGCCTTTTTTCTCAGTCTGTAACAAAGTAAAAGCTTTGTTTGCTTTGCTTAATTTTGTTTTCAGTTGATCTATGATGAATATGCAGTGCAAACATTAACTTAGGGGTTTTATCTTCGAAAATGGCTATTTTTGAATAATGTTTGCGGTATTATTTTGGAGGTTACTGTTTTTCTATCTGACCTTCCCAGTATGCAAATTCTTTTTTCTTGTACTTCCCATGTGGTGGCCTGGCTATCCATTTTAAGCACTTCTGGACTTAAATTGCTACATTTCTGAATATCTTGTGCCATTTGAATATATGCATGTCATCCACTGAAGATGTACCAGCTATAGTTCAGACCAAACCAAAGCACGAAGAACTGTTGGCAATCCTTAACAGACCTTAATGTAGGTAAATGTTTGCAGTTTTCAGGCATTGGAGTAAAGCTATATGAAGGATCTCAAACCACTGAGACCTAACAGATGACACATTCTACTCTCAAGAAGTAGATATTCTTTGCCTGATTCCTTTTAACAAGACTAAAACAGTAAAGAGACACAGGTTTAGCAACATGAGTCTTCCTGTATTCTAATGATGCCTGCATGTATTTAATAATTTAATATTTCTACTTTTAAATAGATTCAAAAGATGCCAAAGATAATAAGGAAGCACCTGGGAGTGAGGATTTGGAGTTGGAGCTGGAGAACCTGGATATTAATGATGATGCCCTGGAGTTAGACTGTGGAGATGAGGCAGAAGATCTTACAAAAAAGCTTCTTGATGAGCAAGGTAAAAAGAATTGGCTTTAGGAATTACTTGTTTTTTTGTTTTGGGGCTTTTTTCTTGATGGCTTTAGTCAGTAGATCAACTTCAGGAAGAAGAATGATTTATTTATGAAACTAGTAGCTAGGAGCTGTTAGGACTGTGGTCAAAACAACATTTTTAACAAGGCATTCCGAAACAACTGAAAAGTATTATATGGAGGTTTATGTAATGATAGTTACCGATTCTTTTAGCTTTTAAAGATAATCAAATGTGAAGGCAGTGGTCTGAAAAGTGACTAGAAAGAAGAATGTAGACTTCAGTGCATAAATGATTTTATCATCAAATGTGCTTAGGGTATTATTTAAATACTTTGTTTTAAACTTGAACTGCAAGATTCAGCTCTACCTTTCTGTCTTGTTATGGCTTTACATAGCATGATTTAAGAATTCTAACCTCTGATTGTGCATAAAGGGCTGCAAATGAAACCTGTGGAACTCTGGCTTTACTTTTACCAGGGGAACCAGAGAAAGGTTTCTTGTGAATCACAAGTATTTCTTTTAGTGGTAATGAATTTCTTTTAGTGGGAAAAGCAACATCAGGTGTTAAAAGCCGAATTCAGAGGAGCAAGTGAGGCAGTGTTTTTGAACCAGATTTGTAAACCACAGTGGTTTTACTTTGCATTCCCAAGGACCAATGCAGATTCTTTCATTTCTAAAGCAGGAAACTTGTTCAGTGTCTAGAATGTGGGGGAAGAAAAAACACATCTGGAGTGCACTGGCTGGAGATTCTGTGGCTTAAAACTGAAAATACTTCTGATCTAGGGAATTCCTAAGATAATCATAGAACGGTTTTCACCGCTTGTCACTGGTCTGCACTTGGACATTAAGGCATTGATCACAACTCTGTAAGTGCGACCATCCAGCTAATTCTTTATTCCATCCATCAAATCCATGCTCTCCAGTTTAGAGACAAGGATGTTGTGTGTGACAGCATCAGATGCTTTGCACAAGTCCAGGTAGATGATGTCAGTTGCTCTTCCCCCATAACACCATTGTAGAAAGTCATCAGATTTGTCAGACATGACTTGCCCTTAGTAAAGCTATGTTGGCTGTCACCAACCACCTCCCTATTTTCCAAGCACCTTAGTGTAGTTTCCAGGAGGATCTGTCCCATGATCTTGTCAGGCATTGAAGTGAGACTGACTGGTGTGTAGTTTCCCCGGTCTTCCTTTTTCCTCCTTTTTAAAAATGGGCTATGTTTCCCCTTTTCCAGTCAGCAGGAACTTCACCAGACTATGACTTCTCAAACATAATGGACAGCAGTTTAGCCACTTCATCTGCCTGTTCCCTCAGGGCCCGTGGATGCATCTCATCAGGTTCCATGGACTTGTGCTCATTCAGGTTCCTTAGATGGTCTTCAACTTGATCTTCTCCTACAGTGGGTGGTTTTTCATTGTCCCAGTCCCTGCCCTTGCCTTCTGTGATGAGAGTGGCGTGGCTGGAGCATTTGCTGGTGAAGGCCATGGCAAAAAGGTTGTTAAGTGCCTCAGCTTTCTCTGTCCTGGGTCTCCTGTTCCCTTCTGGAGAGGGCCCACATTTTCCCTATTCTTTTATCACTGACATACCTATAGAAGCTTTTCTTGTTGCCCTTGATGTTCCTAGCCAGATTTAATTCTGTCAGGGCTTTAGCTTTCCTGACTGGATCCCTGGGTGCTCAGACAATTTCTCTGTATTCCTTCCAGGCTACCTGTCCTTGCTTCCACCTCCTGTAGGCTTCCTTCTGTGGAGTTTGTCCAGGAGCTCCTTGTTCATCCATACAGGCCTCCTGGCATTTTTTCCTGACTTCGTCTTTGTTAGGATGTGTCACTCCTGAGCTTGGAGGAGGTGATCCTTGAACATTATCCAGTGTTCTTGGGCCCTTTTTCCCTCCAGGGCTCTATTCCCTGCTACTCTAGCAGGCAGACCCCTGAAGAGGCCAAAGTCTGCTCTCCTGCAGTCTTGGGGTGGTGAGCTTGCTGCATGCCTTCCTCACTGCCTTAAGCTTCAAAAACCTCCACCGTTTTATGGTCCCTGCAGCTAAAGCTGCCCTTGCACATCATATTCCCTACCAGCCCCTCCCTCGTTGGTGAGAACAATCCTGTTGCTTGAAAAACAGCATTGTGCTTTAAAAGCTGAGAAGTTAAAGCCAAAACTTCAAGCTGTGGAGTTCATACCACAGCAAAGAAGCTCAAGGTCTGGCAAAGACTGCATGTTGGTGTTCAAAACATGGGTTCAGTGAATCAAGCTGATACATGGATCTGTGGGTCTGGGCATAGAGTGGCTTGAACAAATCCTCAGTGTTCCAGTCTCTCTCAGCTGACAATAGGGATTGGTTAAGGCATATGGATCTTCAAATTGGGTGACTTGTGTACTGAAAGTTAGTTGAGCTGAACTTGATCTTGGAACTCTGCTCGTCTGTGCCACCTCACTAATTCAAAAAAGAGACAGCTCTGGAGTCAGACTGTTTCAGACTCCTCCTGAAAGGAAAACTGTTAGGATAAAGCTATCACGTATTTCCTTAGATTTTTCCTTTGTTTACCCAGACAGGTTGGAAAAAGCTCTATCCTCCTTGGATGAATTTTCCCTTTTATTTATATATTTTCTTCTTTGAGTAGCCATCAGCACATTCAGCTGGGTAAGAATTTAAGTTTTAATTGCAGGATGTTCACCTTTAGTGAGCTGTTATCCTCTGGTCAGAGATCTTGAGAAAACCAGTGAAGAGCTTAGTTCTAACGGTCTGTAAGGGTGGTAAACCTAGATGTTCCCTTGGAATCAAAGGGAAAAAGAGCAGCTCATTCTGGGTTGCTCACAGCCTGCTAGATAGACCAAAATAGTTTGTCAATAGACATCTAAAGGAATGCAAATATTTCTTGATTTTTTTGAAAGGGATTATTGTCATGATAGGAGGATGAAGATTAGTTTGAACATAAAGACAAATAACATGAAAGTGAGATCCTATAGAAGTGAGGAAGGAATAACAGGAGATGAGATGAGATATAGAAGGTCCAGTGTCTCTGGGAGGCAATACCAGCTTGAGTAGCTCAGAGGGAATTGATGGTTATGCTCTTGATTATAGGAGGTTTCATCATCATATGTTAACAATGATCAGTACTAGTTTCTGTTTTTAAATGAGCTGTTGACTAAGCATTAAACATGTTCTTATCTGAAAGGTTAATCTAAAATATGTCAGAATAGGGTTTATTTTTTCTCATTAAACAGCTAACTGTTTATGAAAGCCTTTTGCTCTCTAGCTTGTGAAGGTGAAATCGTTTGGTTCAGCCTGTAGGCTTTTTCTTGCTGCTTCCTGGTTGTCTTTGCTCATGAGTTTATTTTTTGTGAAACAGGTGAAAACTTAGTGTCTTTGGGAATTCCATACCCTGTCAAATTGCTTTGATACTGGCAAGTAACTTCAGAAATGAATGATGGAAACTAAAATAGATATAATTGGTAAATCCTTGTTCTGCTGGAAAACTAGGCTGTAAGTTAGCAGCATGTGAGTGTTACTTTACTTGAAACATACAGCAAAACACAATGATTGTTTTGAGGTGTGTGTAATTCTGAACACCCCTTGTTGGCAGCACCAGATATACTTAATTAACAAAAATCTTAATTTAGATGGTGTTTCAAGTTCTGTAATGGGTTTCCATCTAATGAACTGGAAGATGTCTTTTTTTCCCAGCCTTTTTCTTAAGTAAAATTCCCTTGGGTTCGAAGTTAGGAAAACGGGGTGTCCTTCAGCTACAAAATACCGCTTTAACTTCTTTTCATATGTACTGAATTTTTTGTCCATCTGTACTTGAGGTAAGTTAGTAATGTTTGTGCAGAGCTAGTGAAGAATGAAACCACTGCATTACACACATTATACACATACAGACATAAAACAGGGGATTTGTGGGTTGACATGGGCCTTGAGTGTAGAAAGGAAGGATGCATGAGGTATAGCAGGGACTTAGATCATAGAATCAGAATGGTTTGAGTTGGAAGGGACTTTTAAAGCTCATCTAGTCCAACCCCCCTGCAATGAGGGACACCTTCAACTAGATCAAGTTGCTCAGAGACCCATCAAACATGGCACAAGGGCCAAGATGAAGAAAAGTTGTTTTGAGTATTGTGATAATTTGGTGGTGTGGATTTCATTAGCAGAGGGAATAAGTAAATTATAGATGGGGAAATAGGATAGGAGGGACAATCTAGTCACATAGTAGGTACTGCATATCTCTTGTAACTTCTGCATCACCTTCTGTCATTTCAGTCTTTTCTGCCTGTCCAAATATAGAGTCATAGAATCCCAGACTGATTTGGGTTGGAAGGGGACCTTCATGCTCATACAGTTCCACCCCCCTGCCACAGGCAGGAACACCTTCCACTAGGGTGGGTTGCTCCAAGCCCTGTCCAGCCTGGCCTTGAACACTACTAGGGATAGGGTAGCCACAGCTTCTCTGGGCACCCTCTGCCAACGCCTCACCACCTCACAGTAAAAGAATTTCTTCCTGGTATCTCATCTAGATCTCTCCTCTCAGTTTAAAGCCATACCCCCTTGTCCTGTCCCTACAGGCCCTTGTCAAAAGTCCTTCTCTGTATTCCTTGTCAGTCCCTTTAGGCACTGGAAGCTGCTCTAAGGTTTCCCTGGAGCCATCTCCTTTCCAGGCTGAAGAAGCTCAGTATGAGGGAGACAAGACAGTTTTCCAACGTGTGTTTTCAAAGCAGGTCTCTGTTGGTGTAGCAGCCTTCACAGCACTGGAGTGCTTGTGCCTAAACTTACTTCTTAAAGGTCAGAGACTATAATCAGCTAAGTTTAAGGTATGCCATAGAAAAAGAAAGTTTTACATGATGCACTTAGTTGAAGAGGTTTGTTTACTAGGAATTCAGGTAATTTATTTTGTTTCTCTATTGTGTTAACTTTGAGTGAATCTTAATTTTCTTATTTTCAATATGCTCAGGGAAGAGAAGGGGAGCAGATAGCACCGGAGCTGCAAATAGTCACCTCAAACATGCTGAAAGAAGTGAGTTTTGAGGTTGTTTTTGAAAGAGAAGATAAAATGTTAAACATGAAGCTGTGTGAATGGAGACAAAGATGTTAAGTAAGGAATGGCCAGGGTGGAAGCCATCAAGGGTACCGGGAGCAGGATTCATCTGATATTAATACATACCTAGTGCCTGTTTTTGTAAGGTTTGTCAGCAGCAGAAACAATGTGTAGAAGTGAGTATGAAGACAACCCTGTTAACTTTGCTACACTGTTTAAAGAGCTAGCAGAGTTCCTATCAGAAAAGCAGGAATTTAAAAACAGATCTGAAGTTATTAACTAAGAAATCTTTTTTTGACTTGTGAGACTAGATTCTGAATACATTCCTCAGGCTTTTATTCAGCAAGATGTTTAACACTATGCTTATGCCAAGTGTTGTGCAGAGAGGGGGATCCAACCAACCATTTGCTCATGTTTTTAGCTTGTACCATTAGGATGCGAGGGCTCCTCTGTGATCAGATTCATTTCAGAATCTTGTCTCACAAAGGAATAGCTCCAGACATTACAAAAGCACTTGCCTTGTTTCCATTGTCTGGGTGACACTATACAAAGTAGACTGAACCTTTCAGGCAGAGTGGGGTTTTGAGGAGAAAGCCCTCTGCAGGGTTATAGTTCAGTAAATTGAAAAGATGGTGTTGACATGAAAGGAGCCAGGGCTCTCTCAGAAGGTATGTGTGTAGGGAGGGGGGAAGGCAAACAACTAGTTTTGGTGAAGCAGAAGATTGTTTGGTACCAATCATTGCAGGAGAATTACTTCAGTAAGTCCTTAGCATCTTCTGATGCTTCCTCAGTTCTACTCCCTGGAAACTGCATCATTACATCAATTTCTGGTAAATATAAAGGTGTTTAAACACAATTTTTCTTTCATTGTCTACAGTGATTATGCTGCATGACTTGATCTGCACCCAGATAGACCATTACAAATAGTCTAAGTAATGGTTGTACATTACTACTTGTAGTGAATTTTTAAAAGAGGTAATGCAGTTTTGAAATGTGCTGCTACCGAAAAACTGAAACTCAAGAGGATCAAAGTGAAAGCAAGAAATTAACTGATTTTTTTTCACATGAATTGCATACTGGGAATCCCCGGCTGTTTCATTTCCTGTCACTGTAAAACTCTGTCTTAAGTCTCAGACCTGCTTCAGGTACTAAAAGAAAAGAGCCTTTCCACTTAGAAAGGATCCACATGCTGTGATGAGAAATACAATGTGAGAGTATCTTTGGCCCTCAGTGAAGGAGAGGACCAGTGAAAGGGGAGATACATTTGGGAACTGTTGAAATTCAGTGTGATAACAGGGACTTTTGAAAGATTGCCTTGAATAGTGGCTGAAATGTCAAAGACTGCTTTAAACTGATTTCAAGAACCGTGAGTCAGTTTGAATAGAAGATTGAGGTGAGACAGCTAACTGCTGTAAAGGAAAAAGGAGAAGATAAAAGAACATTAGAGGCGGACAGTAAGGTGTGGCTGTAAATACCTAAATGGAAGAATGCATTAAAATGAGATTTGCTACTAAAATTTGTTTTGTTTGAGCTGTTGTATGCATCCTAGTGAAGTCTGAGTATATGGGTGATGAGAGAGTCAGGGTTCCATTAACCATTTAAAACATCATGGTCCTCTTGTTGAGCATCTGGAACAGCTTCCTTTTTTTTTTTTTCCCTCTCCTTTCTTAGTGAACCCTTCTCTTGTTCTTCTGACTTCTAGTCAGAGAGGAGGAGGAAGTGATGCCACCTGCTTTAACCTCTAGCACCTTCAAGACTGGGTAGCTTGCAGTGTTCTTTGAAACAGATTTTAGCATTTCTCTGCTTAAGTTCAACCCCTGCCCCTAACAGTTTCCAGGAACAAGAAAAAAAAATGGTCCTACAATGTACCATCTTTTTCCCTTATAGCAGTTATCTCCTTCCCTTTCAGCAACTTGAAAAATGAACTTGAGTCTTCATGCTGGTTTATCTTACCATGTAGCCTTTAAAGACATAATGAATTTACCAGGTGTCAGGTATTTTGTAGGTTACTTGGGTGTGTTTTCCACCACATGAATGCTTTCCTGGGTATTCCTGTTACTGCTGAACATCCTCAAACTGAAACAAACCCAAGCTTCATCATGTTCCTTTTTCAGGAAGCAGCGTTCTTCTGTGTTGCTTTGGCCAATGAAGACTTTTTCCCAAGTGTTTGTGTTGCAGCTCGTTGTTTTGGCTTGTGTTGTGCTATAAAGGAAACTAAACTCTTTTCTAGGACTTACTAAAATCTGGAAGAGTTTTGTAAGCATACCACAGATTTTGCAATTAGAGGATAACTGTAGGGGGATTGCTCTGGTGAGGTCTTCAGAGCAGATGTCAGAAAAACTGAATTCCAGTGGTAGAGTTGTCCTACAGTCTTCTACTTGAGTAGTGTTAGGGACTCAATCAGTAGACGCACGTCACTGTTGCTGCTTCCTGTGTTGCGAATTCCACAGAAGCACCTGCTTGAAAAACAAGTTACCACTTGTCTTGCAGCTGCTGCATGATCAGCCCTCCATCCATGTTGCTTTATGGTTCTAGGCTCTGTTTTCAGCACTGCTGAAGGAATTGAGTTGGCCTCTAGCTTTTACAGCCTAAAGTGAAAAGATGTCAAGAACATACTGGATGAAAGCCTTAATGGATGCTTTTGGTCAAAAATCCTGTTTCTCCTGCAGGACAAACATACAGAAAATGTAGAGTCTACAGTTGCATTAAGGTGGTTTGGTTTGTTTTCCCCCATGTTTGGGCCTTCTTGTGATCATCCTTCTGTCATCTAAAGAAATTATGATAATTTTCTAGGAATATAGATTTGTTGTTGCTCTTGACAGTATAAAGTAGGAGGCAGGGAACTTCATGAATAGGAAGACAAGTTTATTTTTTACTTTTGTTATCAAAAGCAATAAATGGATTTTTTTTTTTCTTCATTAAAAAGGATATTTTATATTCATCTTTATATATTATCCCTATATATATATGTTTGAATCCGTGAATGAATATTTAACAGCTAAACATTACAAATGTTTGGGTGATACGATCATAAATTGCAATATTTCATAGCTTAAAGATGTGTGCTGCTTGTTTATTTCACTCTGTTAGAACAAGAGGATGAAGAAGCCAGTACTGGATCTCATTTAAAACTTATAGTAGATGCTTTCCTTCAGCAGCTTCCAAACTGTGTCAACAGAGATCTCATAGACAAGGTATAGTTTTCATTTTTATCTACTCTTAAAGATAATGCTAGATCAAATAGATTGGAAGCAAAGATTTGAAGCTTTTGAGTCTGTCAGGAGCTGAACTATATTTAAAGTAATTACTTTGGAGAAAACCTTTTTATCCCTCACTTAATCACTAATTGCCAAGACACCATGTGATACTGATTTTTTTGTCTGCCTGTTTTCTTATGTGTCAGTTTGGTTTAGAAGTAGACTTGGCTTTTTCCAATTTTCCTCCCATTCCTCTCTGACAGATTACTCCCCATCTGCCTAAAGCTGTTTTCTTCCTTGTGTTGGTCCAAAAAATCAACTGGACTCGTTTTGCAGATATGTCAGTTCTAGACATAAAGGAAGGCTTTTCTTTATGGCTGTTCATAAAGCAGCTGCATGTAACAGGAATAACTCCATAAAGATGCTTTTGGAAAGCATGCTGTATTACTTTAAATAAAAACACACTGCAGTAAAGGTGAAGTGTTTCATTGACTTTCCTCTTTACAGGCAGCAATGGATTTTTGCATGAATATGAATACAAAAGCCAACAGAAGAAAACTTGTACGAGCACTTTTCATAGTTCCTAGGCAAAGGTAAGAACTGAAGGAGAATAAGATAGCTCCACCCTTTGGTTATTTAGCATATATATGTATATGATTTTTAACTGTTTAAGTTACTGAAAACCAGTGTATATTCCAAGTTGCATTTGTTCATTTCTGAGGTGCACTTCAGGACTGATTTATGCATTAATGATCAAGGAATTCCCCACAGTATTTTGCCATACCAGTGTAAATTTTCTTTAATAATTTCTTTTTTTAAATATTAGTTTCTGTCTTCTGGTACTTGTGTGTTTATAGTGGATCTTTTCATGACTTTTTAACCATGAAAACAACAGCAAAACTTACCTTGTAGCAAAAGAGGATGTATTTTGTTCAGGAGAACTTGCACTTATTTTGTGTAAGAACCTATGAATAGTTAGAGCACAATGTAGTTCGGGAAGGAGGATTTCTTGTGATACGCTAATTCTGATGTATTACATAGCTATTATGTATCTTCTAGAATATGTATCTTGCATCTTCTGGAGCAGCACTGGTTCTAGGCCAGCCAGTTTAGAGAAAGCGAGTATAAAAGCTGGAGCTTGGCCTCTTCTGTCCACGTAGATTTGTCCTTGTAGAGTTTTGCTATTTCTCCTTGTGTGAGGGCCCTACACACAGAAAAATAGCCTTGCTTACAAAAATGAGTGCAAATATTAAAATGAAACTTTTAAATTCATTGGAAGAATAATGTATTTTTTTCCTCTCCGGTAAACTTGTACCTTAAAGAGGCGCAATTTAAGTAGGTGCAATTACGCGGGAGTTGCTTTTCTTGCTCCACCTCACCCTGTTTCTCCTGGGAGGTTGTTTTGATGCTGCTTTTAGTTTCAGTGTTTCATCATCATCTTGTATTTCCTGTTAAGAGTTCACACCACTTTGATTCCATGCCTTTTAACACTAGTGGGGGGTGTGGAAGTACAGTTTGAGTGTCTGTGTTGTCTGAAGGCTTGTGTAGAAAACTGCTTTGAATAAACAGTCTCTGGTGTTTTGTTTTCATTACTTTTAATCACTTCTTGCACTGTGTTTTCAACCTTAATTCTAGCTTATTTGTACATCCCATCTGTAATAAGGGTCTGCTGTGCTAGTAGCATTGCTCTCTTTGCTGGGTATAAACCAGTGGTTTGTTTGCTCACTATATGCGTTAACCTGACTCTATGTTGATACTAGCTTTTGCAACTAATCTTTTCTCTTCATGTATTCTTTTCTCTAAAATGTTACGGTTTTGACACCTCAGTCTTTGGAGACTTTGACAGGGGCCTGATTGTGCCCGAAAAATGAGTTACTGACAGAGGAGGTAGGGAGTTGAGTATCTTCTGTGTTAGAGGTAACAAGGTGTTCTTCAGTCCAGTTTTACGATGTAGAGGAAATACCAGCAGGCTAATAAATAGAAATGTTAACCATGAAATGCATCGAAACACAATTTGAGAACATTTTTCATAGCCTAGGGCATCTACAGTTCTGTAGGAACTCAGACTAGTATAGATGGTGTGGTTGCCTCAAGGAGCTGCTTTGTGACAGTTCTGTTCTCTCATAGTTGGAACTAATACTGAAGCGAATGGCTCAGCTGATTGCTCATGGTTTTTCTTATAAATATTAATTATTACTATTAAGAAATATTAATATTTCATGTACAATTCTATTTTTAATATCTTTTTCTGCTGTCTGCTCTGAGACCTGCTGGGCTAGTAAATACTCCAGCTTCCAGCTGTAAGATCTTAAGTTCAGTTTTGTATATCTGCCTCTTCTCTTGTCTGCAGTAGCGATGCCCATCTCTGGGCTACTAAGCAGGAGAAATAGGATGTTGACTGAGCTTCTTGTCCTGAGCCACAAACAGTTGCAGTGGAAGTACCAGCTGAATTGCCAATAGATGCACATGATTTTAAAGGGCAGTCTATCTTAATATTTACATTAGCTTTATTTCTGCAGTTGGTGAAGGAGCAGTTCTGCTTTCTGTCTTGAAATCACTGTTTATAATCCTTGTAGGAAAAACTCCAGGTGTGTATATGGCACATGGTAGTAATGGTTGCTATAAAATGCTACAAACTGATTTAGAAAATTATAAAACACTGCTTCTAAGCTTTGTATACTCTGCATTAACTATGGTTTTGCTTTGTGTATCTCTTCACTGAGCCATATTATACGACTTTGCCTTCCATTATTGTTGTTGCATCCTAGTTTTTAGTATAAATTCCAGTAGTTTCTGCAGTCTCTCTCCAGGATACCACTGGAGAAGAAAGCTTTTTGTGGTTGTGTTCTTTAGGGGATTCTTGGGGCTCCTTTTGCAAAAGGTTCAGAGGAACAGCATCCTTATAGGATGTAGATAAAGCAGTGTATTTTCCAAAAGTGTTTAGTCTTCAAGCGTATCAGATAATGCTGTTGAAGTCTAGATAGTATGTTATCAGCCATAAGAAGATGTTTCAGTAACAGAGTAAGTTCTGTTTCTTCTCCTGAGAGATCAGTTTTAGGAAATAATATATGCAGGCACAACAGTTTTACTAAGAAAGTACAAACTGGTTTCGTGCTTGAGGAGTGATGAAGACACTGTAAAGTTGAAGTCGTCATGTAGTATTGCTGTAGAGTTTCTTGCTTCCACTAAAGTTGGATTGACTGGGACAAATACAGAGACAGAAAATTTAATTTGACAAAAGGGGATGTTTTTTCCTCAACTATCTGTGGATTAGTGTTAGAAACAACATCATTGCACTACTCTGCTGAATACTTATGAATGGATCGCATTTACATTTTCAGCTGTGATTTGAACCTCTAACTCAACAGAACAGAAAGCCTTTTAAAAAGATTTCTTCTCAGTGCTAGTATACAAGTGGCTTTCAGGTTTGTATTAGAGGGTTGGTTTAATACTAAATATTAACCTTTTAATTCAGGACTATATAGTTTGCACTAAAGTGACAGCACAGTAATTTAACATATACTGCTCACAGCTTTAAGGCATTTATGTGTACTTCTTTGCTGTTGAACTGCATTATCTTCCTCTACAGATACACATGGATCTGTCTAGCTGCATACTGCAGTTTGCAGTTTAAAATCTCTTTTTAGGCCTTAACTTCTAAACAATTCTAGCAAATGCTAAACAGCAGATAGGAGCTGTTGCAGCTTCTCATTTTTTTGCCATCCCCATTCATGGTGATCTGTGAAGTTGCACATTTACTAAGTAAGAGATCTGTTGTTCATCTTACAGAAGGTTTTAGCATTATCCTTGGTTCTTAATTCAGAAGTTGGCTGCAGCTTAAGTGTTTAAATAGTTCTGAGCATTTTAAGTCAGAAGTTGTAAACCCCCTTTCAGCTCTTTATCCTGAGAATCCTCAGTAGCAAGGTCCTTTCTGTTCAGTTGAACTTATCAGTATTTCAGTGGCCTGTCTCATTCAATGATAAAATTGAGAGATGTGCTGGAGATCAAAGAGTTCATGCCACAGCTACAAAACAAAAGGAAAAAGTGCTTATCTGGTAGCATGCCACTTCCACAACATCCATCTCTTCTCACTGAGCATTGTTGATGGCAGTTTGTACCTGTTCAAGCCCAGTGAATACACTGCATTTGTCTGGATTTGGATTTGCTTGTGAGGCAGCAGTTCTTGCTCCATTACCTCATACTTTAAACTGTCTTTCTGGTAGAATCCCATTTAATAAATGTCCAAGATGCCCCCTTCACTCCTAGGTATAAAATTTTGGATGCAACCATTCTAGAGAGTTTGCAGCTAGGACTTTAATTGAGCAAAGTTTTGTGGTTTGGGTTTTAAAAGATGTGCTCTTAAGTATTTCACTGAAGTGCAGTCCATGTGATCCAGAGGTCCAGAACTGACTGGATTACAATCCAAGGCATATGGTCAAAATGGCAATGGTCAGAAGTAATGTTCTTTTGCTGTGATAGTTTACTGATGCTAGGTCTTGTTTCATAACATAGAAGAGCAGGAAGAGAAAGCAACACTATGGGGTTTGTGGTCATCCTAGTTAATTTCTGCCCAACTTCTCAAGAAAGAGAAATGCTTTTGGAGAAAATAGAAAACGTGGATTGGCTTTAATGCAGGTACCAGTAGATGGTGCCATTGATACTGCAATCTCTCCGCTTCTGAGCAGGAATTTTTGTCTCCCCTGTGAAAGGGAATGGATTCCATCTCCGATTGCCAATTTCACAGTAATTGACCCAAGGTTTTTCCTTATTATATTTCATCTATTTCAAAGCACCCAATCTTAGCATTCATTCCCATGAAGAACCCTTTTGTGTTCTGTGAGTGAATAACAGCAATGTGCTCTAAGACTTTAATTTCCCCTGGGTATGTTCAGTTTACAGAGATGAAATTATTAGCTCTCAGAAGGCAGGTATTTGTTCAGCATAAAGCTTTCTGCTACTTGTCTTAAAAGATGTGCCATGCAGAAATCCCCTCCTTTCAGCCCAAGTCCTTTCTCTAGTTCAGCTTTTGTTTGTTTATGTGAAGTAATAAGACTTTCCCTTCTCCAAGAGTTAATGGCTAAATGCTTAATAACATCACAGTAATTTGCTATGGCTAGTCACCCTTGACTGTGTGTTCCAACAGGCTTGAAAAATGTAAATACTGCTTCAGTTATCGATTAACAAGAGAGAATGAAAAAGGTTAAATAGGTAACTGGCATACCTGTAATGTTTCACCAGGAGTTTTAGGGATTACGAGGAGGCTGCTTAACTCTGCCTCTTTCAGGCAGTATATGCTGATTCTTCTGATCCACAGATTATCTACATAATTAGCCCTCTTGCTGTGAGTGGATATTAGGGGATCTTGGAAATCTGCTCTAGTGGCATAGCTGTAGAAAGGAGAAGGGAGGCAGTTGTGCATGCTTTAGTTTTGACTTGATGATTTTCTGGTTTTACTTTGTGCCAGAGCAAGATGTATTTACATCTAAAAACTGTGCTTTTAGAGTTCTTCTTTTCCTTTTTTTCTTTTTCATTTCTTTTCCCTAGCAGTAAGGGAAAACCTGAACCCTTCATAAAGTGTAAATTCCAGATCCATTTTCCCTTACAGGCAATTTCTCGCTTGTAACATGCAAATTTAAGATGTGTTTCTCCACTTAAAACTTGTTTTATGGTTCATCTGTTGACAGCATTTACTTATGTTCTGAAAGTAAACTAAAAATACCTTCTTCAATTTGTTAAATGCTGTTATGAGGCCTCAGAGGGCAGTTGGTTTCTCTGTATTTAAAAGTGATACCTGCACATTTATGCAAAGCAGTTGTGTTATATTCTGTGTCCTGTTACATGATGCCACAAACCAGGTTTAAGGGCATTTATCTGGTTTTTACAATGAGATAGTCTTTAATGGAAAGAAACAAAGTATAACCTAAAGAGAGCACAAATTACCATCTGCTGAGCTTTGGTTTATGTAATAACTACTACATTCACTTAGAAGTTCACTGCCTTAAAAATAAAGATGTTCTTACCTTTCTGGTTATGTCTGCTGATACTCAGAGAAGAGAAATAGAAGCAGTAGCAAATGGAGTCATCTGTAAGAACTTTTCATTTTGCTTGTTGAGAGGCATCAGGATTCTCTTTGTATCTGGTAATTTCTTATAGGTCAAATTCCGTAGCTGAGATGGTGTTTGGCATTTCACCCGAGGCAGTAGTTTTGAAAGGAAATGAGCTGTGAAGGATGCCAGTAGGATGGGGTAACATACCTTCTTGTATTGCTGTTTTTAAACAGTATTGCAGTTGGAAGTGTGAGCACATAAAATTGTGTGTAGCAGTAGTTCTGTTGGTATATGCACACTCATTCCTTTCACAAGTAAAATTGTAACCATACTTACAGACATAAATACCTTTTTGTCTATGAATTGCTTGTCTGTTCTATCATCTCCTCTGTTGCAGGTTGGATTTGCTACCGTTTTATGCAAGACTGGTTGCCACACTGCATCCTTGTATGTCTGATGTAGCAGAGGATCTTTGTTCCATGCTGAAAGGGGACTTCAGATTTCATGTATGTTTTGTTGATTCAGTGGTTTGCATTCAGATTAACCAATCTGATAATAGTCATCCTTTGGGGAGTAAATAATGTTTGGTATTATGTAGGTGCTAATTTGCTGATTTTGAAATTCAGTGAATGTTTTTCTATCATCCAAGTGGATTTATTCTCAAATACTGCATTTGTACATTTTAAAACAAAATTGTTTTACAATTTACCATATGTATTTATGTGTATATATATATATATATTAAAATGAGCTGTACAACAGCTAAACCAAATTGCAAAAGTTAAACTGTGCTCCAACTGTGTTAAGAGTTTTCTGTAAATTAATAACTTGCATTTAAAATGAGAATTGACCTTTTCTAACAAAACTTTCCCCACTACAAGGTTACTGCTGTAATCTAGTATTTACTATTGTAATGTAGCGCTTAAGTCAGTTATTTTTTACTCTTTTCATCAACCAAAATTTTCCTCACAAACACGTTTTCAGTGTTGTTTCTTTCATTTTGTTCTACGTTTATTAATGAAATTAGTTATGGTGCACAGTGATGATTCATTCACTGGTTTCCAGGTTTTATATGGCATAAAAATATTGCATGAAACTTGGAAACCAGTGAAGGAATCATCACTGTGGTGATTTTCTTTCTTATATTGACATTTAGAATGTGTATGAATTGCTCTTAGATACAGACTTATTTAAGTCTAACTATCTGAAATTAACTGTTTGTACTCGGGAAAAGCTATTTCTTTTGGGGAGAACTACAGGTTTGCATTTTACGGGTTATGTTTAGACATAGATTTGTACATTGGTAATAAAATTATACTGGATATCAGTAATTTTAAAAGAAAAAAAAAGAAAGGACGGGTAAGGGGTAGTCTGCACATTATTAAACCAGACTTGAAAAGCTGTCAGTATTTAATATTTTCTTAGGGACTAGGTGGTCCTAGTCATTTAGAGACTACTTAATGATTCTAAAAATACAGAATCTAGAATACATAACTACTACTTCATTGTGGTAAAGAGGGTTGGACAGGTTAATGTGTGGTGGGTGGCTTGGGGGGGGGGAGTGGAGGGATGGGGAAAGAAATTGGAAAGCTTTTGAAGAAACAGGGTTGTAGAGAGACTTTAAGAAACCTGGTGATAGCTAAAGGTAGAGCATAAGGAACTAAACAAATACCAAACATTGCCTAATTCCTAAACTATTACACAGATTTGTGTTGAAGTAAATTCTAAGAGGTGGGTATTTTTAAGAGCCTGCATTCAAATGCATTCTTTTTTTAGGTAAGAAAAAAGGACCAGATCAACATTGAAACAAAGAATAAAACTGTGAGATTCATTGGTGAGCTTACCAAGTTTAAGATGTTCTCCAAAAACGATACTCTCCACTGCTTAAAGGTTAGTGTTGTGATTGTAGAAACATTGCTACTTACTCATCTGCTATGCATTGCAAAGATTTCATTATGTTGATTACAATTAATGTTTCTACAGAGAGCACAACAGTAAGAGGAAGGCATTAGGAATGGAAAGCTTTTCAGTGATGCAAGGAGAGGCTTATATGCCATTTTAGCAGGTGCTTTTGTTCATTGAAGAACAAACTAAACCTTTGGAAAGCATTAACCTTCAGGCATATCATCTCAGTTTGCATGCTGATAAACATTCAAACTTGTCTTTGAGGTCAAGTCCCAGATTAAAAATGGGTTTTAAAAGATAAAAGCATGTTTTATAAAGGTGGTTGAAGACTCACAGGGGTTAAGATCACTTCTTGTGGGAAGAGTTTGTGTTTGTTGACTCAGGTATCAAAGCTGAATTCTTAAAAAGAGATCTGATTATCTCTCTTTTTTTCTCCCATCTATAAAATATTGAAAAGTGCAAAGCTTTGTTAATTTTCACCTGCTGCTTAACTTAATACAATTAAATTTAGATGTGCGTTGAGGTTATTGTGTCCTTGTGCAGTATTCAGTATTATTTTGTAGTTTTCCAGTCTAGCAACAGGAATTTTAAAGCAGATGTAACAGAGTTGGAAGGGGTATAGGGAAGATTATAAGAGTTTGTTTCAATATTGTAGTCTCTTCATGCTAGGCTGAGGAAGCATCCTGTTTTTCAGGTTTCTGGAGCCTTAATTTGGGTTCCAGACTGTTCTTATAATACTTTTTAATGAGAAATATTTATAATTTTGTTAACATCTGACCAGTTAAATTAATTTGCATTTTTTTTCCTTAAAGAACATGGAACACCATAGTAGTGTACTGTATGGTAGATGTAACTTACTGTTTTCTGCAGTTGAAAAAGATGTTTAACATGCTGTGTTTTTATATAAATATATACCAGATGCTTCTGTCAGATTTTTCTCATCACCATATTGAAATGGCTTGTACTCTGCTGGAAACCTGTGGAAGATTCCTCTTCAGATCACCAGAATCTCACTTAAGAACCAGTGTTCTTCTGGTAAGAGAAAACCTGTTGTCTTATGGGGTGGGGTGTCATGCACCAAATTAAACCAATGATTACTTTTATTTTTTGGCTTTGTGATGTGGTCTCACCATAATGATGATTGTGATTAACATCTCAATTGTCAGTTACAACATTCAAGCACAGTAAGTGAAAACTTGCATTAGGTTTTATCTTGAATGCTCAGGGAGGATAAAGTTCTTGATACTTTAATAGTATCAGACAGTATCAAACATTTATAGTATCAAACAGACAAGTATGGGAAGACAATGAATCTGTTATCCTGAAATCTCACCTCCTCATTGTGGAATGATGGACTGGTGTTACCTATGTTCAAGTCCTAGGCTGCTTTGATGCTATCAGGCTTTTTGTAATCCTGTGGACTTGTATCATCTTGTTATTTATAGCATGTCCAGTGTTGTTTCAGCTCTGAGATTGCACCTCCTGTGAGAATAGCTATTTGAAAGTATTCTGGAGAGCTCCAGTTGACCTATAAATCTGTTCATGACTTAAAAAAAAAAAAATAAAGAATTGAATTTCTGAAGCAAAAGACTTTGCTTTTGAACTACAAATAATTTGGAGATAGAGCAAAACCAGAGGCTAAGGTTGAAAGAATCTAATAGGTGTACCTGTACGTGCCTGAAATGCTATTTGAGGGGGAAAATGGTAGTGAATGGAGCTGGAGATATTTCAACTCAAGGTGAAGACAGTTGTGAAAGAAGTGGTTTCTGTGGCTGTGTAATGATCTGGGGTTCCAAATTTGAAGGAGAAGTTCATGAAGACACTGCAGAAATAGCTTTTAGAAGTAGAGCTCGGTAATTAAGGTAAGAGTTGAAGTGGTATCTGTAAGTCTAGATTCAAAAATAACAAGGGTTATCTTTGAGTCTTTTTTAGTGTATGAGCCCTGAATAACATGTTTACTGGCTTGAGACTATCCTAAATCTCTTGTGTCCAAGGCAAGAGACTGAGTCCAATATGATTGAAGAAATCCTTCAAAGATGGATACTAGCAGTAGGAAATGGCATTAGATTAAAAGCAGCTTAAGCAGATACAGACCAACTAATAGACCATGTTATTGTATTTGAAGCCTGACTAGATGTTTTAATATTCCCTTCAAATTTGTGTACTGCAGAAAGAATAGAGGTGCGCATCTGCAGTAAAGAAAGTCTGTGTGTCTGCCCTTCTGGAAAGGAGCAATTTAAATGTTTAGAATCTCTTCCTAAAAACAGAGCTCTTAAGCTGTGAAATATCACTGTCTCTGCTGTATTTATCTGCTTTCTTACCAGAGCACAGGCTTACTCTTGACAGGCCTTTCTCTTGAATGTATAGTCTTTCTTCACATGCTCTAGTTAATGGAGAAGCTGTTGTTGCGCATTTGGTTATGTTGCTGTACAATTTCTTCCTCTCAAAATGCTGTTTCTTTCTGAATCTGTTTGAATGTCGTTAACGTTTATTGTGGTGGTTTAGTCACAAGAGGTGGGCAAATTAACTGCAGGTTCTTGGCTCATGCTTTTTGTTGAAGTGTACTTTGAGTCTTGAAAGGTTGGAATGTCTCAATTTTGTAAAGGTTTGCCAGCTGATGGGTTTTATTGTTAAATATGTTCCTTTCCATAACCAAGTATTTTTCCCCTGAAAACAATGTTCTAATATCTTTAAAAGACACTTTACCTGTTGCTGCCATGTTTTTTGTTAGTTGTTAAAACTTTTTAGAAGTCAGGAAAAATGAAGTACCTTTATTAAAGCTGCCTTTTGTAACTGACTGCTTTTGTTTCTATGCACTACAAAGCCACTGATCTGTATATTTCTGAAACCTGCTGGATGAGCACTAAATGTGATTTAACTGTGAAGTGCAAGAGAAACCACAAACACTGTTTCAGTAACTCAAAACTTCACACAGTTTTGTATAAGTCATTTTTTTCTTATGCATTGAGGAACCAGGAGAAGAGAGATGGCACTAAGTGTGGAATATCTGTTGACTAAGATGTATAATTGCCTATAGATTTATGTTCTACAAACGTCTTAATAGCTAAATCTTCTAATGTTGCCCTACAAAAACTATAGCAATTAATTTTGACTTAAATTGTCTTATACCAGTTCGATCATAGTCTTATGGTACCAGTTAGTGTGATTTGTAGAAAAGATTGTTCCCAAAGCACACTAATTAGGATCTTGTAGTACAAATCTAAGTAAATGTAAAGCTGATCTTACTAATGATTCTTAGGGGTAGGATTAAGGTCTGTTGATCTTCCAAATAATTATTTGACTTAATACATACTGATGATATAGTATGCCAAGCAGGCTCTTTGTCTCCTGTTAGAGACAATACTGCTTTTTCTGGTGTGGAAGAAAGCTAAGAATTTATTTTGAAAGTAACTAAGGGAAAATTAAGTAGTAAAGCAGTGCTGTAAGAGTGCTTCAAACTTAGCAGGAAAGAAACATTTAATGAACACATTCTGGTTCTGTAGAACTGCTGGCATGTTTTGCAATGATTTAATAATTCTTTCATCAGAGCGATGCTGTTTGTTAATTATTCTTCCTGACGAGCTTTTGACAGTTTGTGTCCTTCATGTAATTTAGAATGTTACTGTAAAACTCACTTGACTTTAGGATTGGTCTGTTGATAAATGGATTATGTGAATTGGTGCTTTGGAAGGAAGAACAGCATTATGTTGATCTACGTTTCTGTAACGTAATCGTAGAATCATAGAACAGTTAGGGTTGGAAGGGACCTTAAGATCATCCAGTTCCAATCCCCCTGCCATGGGCAGGGACACCTCACATTAAACCATGCCACCCAAGGCTCTGTCCAGCCTGGCCTTGAACACCGCCGCGGATGCAGCATTCACAACTTCCCTGGGCAGCCCATTCCAGAGCCTCACCACCCTCACAGTAAAGAACTTCCTATATCCAATCTAAACTTCCCCTGTTTAAGTTTTAACCTGTTACCCCTTGTCCTGTCACTACAGTCCCTAATGAATGTTAAAATATCAAATTCTTATGTCATGCTGTTTTGATCTTGTTAATACCAAGCCTGCAAATCTTCCTTGAAGAACTTTCTGATGCATTTTTAATCCTTTAACTTAAACAGTTGTGTGACATTGTCTTTTTTAGGGCAAGATCGTTTGTATTTATAAACATACAGTACATACAGAGCTCCATGGTGGCTCGTTTCTCAAGGTGACTCCTTTTATAGATGGAGTTGAAACTGTGGGAGAGCATTGTTTGTACGGACAAAAGCTGTGGCAGAGTCATTGTGGTTAGATTGAGACTGTGTTAATTCACTGTAACAGTAGTGTGCTTCCAAGAAACTTAAAATTGTGATTTTTGTACTGCTGGGACAAGTAGCAGGGTAGTAAAGGGGAGAAGGAGCTGAACAGTTTCAGTAGCTTATTGCAGCCTGATAACTGAAATATCAAAAAGCCCAAGTCAGAAAAGCATTTCAGCATGACTGACATAATTTTTTTTTTTTTTTGGTGCTGCTTTGCAAAAGGAGAGATTTTGTTACTCACCAAGAAAAAACAAACCGTTTGACTTGGACATTTCAATGTTGTTTGTGATCTCTCTTTATCAAAGGAAAAAACAGAAACGTAATCTTCAAATGTAATGCTTTATCTTTGTGAATCTTCATTTCAGCCTAGTAAAATGGAGACCCAAAGTTGTTAAAGGTTAAAGTGCTTTCGACTGCAAATCTTGCCTTTTTTTTCCTTCTGAAATCTGTAAAGGTTCTTGTTATTCTAGGCAGTATACTGCTATGGTTTCTCTTTCCTGCCTCTCCATCTGACTTGATGCCTTAAGTGAAAAAGGGTTGAAATAAACACAGTTGTTTAAAATTTTTATGATTTTTAGTGGAGGTTAAGACTAATACCAATACCATCTACTTACAGTTAGGATACATACTTGGGATTGCTCAAAAAATTATAAATGACAGTGATTTTGAGTCTTGGGGTAGTGCATGTTGTCTCTTCTGGGAAGAAACGTAATTATAACCCATTATTTAGAGCATAACATGCAGCTTCTTTTAACAGGCAAATATACAAATTGTGTAGTTTCAGGAGGGGGTGAATTTTATTTGCAAGCCCTTTTGCCATATTGTCTGTTATGCTTTACTTTGCTTCACTTAATTTTCTTAGTTTATAGTAAAACATGATAAATGTCACTAAGGTAGCAAAGATGTTTTTTTCTCCTGATCTATCTAGAAAAGGTCTAAAATTTGAAGGCAGTATTAACATACATGACACAGTGAGCTTTTGGTACCGTCTACTGTAAGTGCTGGGGTTTATTCCCCCCCACATCAAACAATTTACATACTCAATTGTTAAGTGCTGTGCATCTGTTAAGTACCTGTAGGTAAACTTACTACTTCTTGGCAGAAATTTGCCATTTGGAAAGGAACAGTCTCAGTTAAGGAAACAAGGGGGAGGCCATTTGTGTCATGGAAAAGGTTAAGATGAAATGCCTTAGGGTTGATGTCAGATTGAGACCTTCCTGGCAATAGATTCATACCATCTAGGAGGAAAATGATGTTATTTGTTGGGTTACTGTGCTACACAAACCTACTCATCCTTATTGAATTAACAGCTGAAACTTGAGGTTCAGGAGCTGTTTGAGTATGTTTACGTTTCAATTGAACTGAACCACTGCCTTGTATAAGAAACTTCAAATTATTCAAGTTGAGTGGAAAGTCCACCAGCATGAAAAGTTGTGCTGCTTTACCAGTGGTCAAAGAAGGTTTAGACTCTTTACATGAGTTTACTGCACTGCATGATTGTATATCCCAACACTGATGTGCCGTGATAAAACAGTACTTCCGTGTTAGTTTTGTTCATCTGCTTGATGCTGTAGTTTACTGTGTATCCAACCTCTATTAAATAAAGTCTAAACCTGTGCAGTTTCTTTTCCTGTTTGACCACCTTGGAGTGATTTAGAATATGTGGGATCATATGGTATACATAAAATTTTAATGCAACTTACAGAATTACATAAATACACACATGCATATAAAAAATTCTTTTGTAATGGAGTTAAGCTCATCCCCCCATCTTCTGCTGTAAGAAGCAGCAGCTTAGAACTGCTACCTTAGTTGTACAGAATTTTTAGATACAAGACAATTTCAAACCCCACAAAATAAGAAAGTATGTATCCAAAATGAAGTATGGAGGAAAAGTTGTATTCTGTGAGGGAAGCTAGGACAATCCTGACAGTGAAGCATAGTAATTAATGTTGATGTAGTAACCTTTTAGTTGTCTGATGTTTTCAGATGGTTTTCCTGCAGTCTGTTCTGCTTGGGTAAGCGGCAACAATGGAACATGTAATAAGGGAAATGCCATTGCCTTAAACACTGAAAATTCATGTTGAAACAAAACCGTGAACTCTCTGGAGTTGCATGCTGATGTAAAGAGTAGATTGCCACTCTTGTGATGATTCACTGTGCTTGTGTCAAGACATAAGGATTTCAGCTATTTCAGTTAAATAAAATCCTGGTTTGAACAGAGTTGCCCATAATCTCATTAACCATTTATCTAAACAGTAACATTTAGATTTCAAGTTGAACTTTAAATACTTTTCTGGAAGCTTTTTCACCACAGGTGAAGCATTATAAAAACAAGGATTGTAAAGAAAAATTACCTTGGAAATAGCAACATAGAACCATATGCTTTGTCCTTTTCTTCTTTCTACTGAAGTTTTTAACTTCCTTTTCTCCAACCTTTCGTGTTTCCTTTATCCCAGATGTAACTATAAAGACCTTTGGCTTGAAAATGTAATGTGACATCTTTATTTTAAAATGATCATTTATATTTATTTCCAGGAGCAAATGATGAGAAAGAAACAAGCAATGCATCTTGATGCACGCTATGTTACAATGGTAGAAAATGCCTATTACTACTGTAACCCTCCTCCAGCTGAAAAAACTGTGAAGAAAAAACGACCTCCTTTGCAAGAATATATTCGTAAGCTCCTTTACAAGGATCTCTCCAAGGTCACCACAGAGAAGGTAAATCCTTTTGAAATCTTTAATACAGATTTTACTGGAAATTATGTAGTACTAACTGCTGAAGGGTTTGGGGAAGGTTATCAGTTTTAATTACAAAGAAGAGGGATCTTTTTTGTATCCCTGATAGTCAGGATAGTTTCATTTCTTTTATTGTAATGCATAGAAGCTCCAGTCATGGACCTGCATTTGCCAGAGCATTTAGTGCTGAATGAAGAGAATGAAGTGAGAGTCTTGTGCTAAGTATCTTGTGCTCTTAGTAAGAGACAAGACTATAGTTAAATCCTGTAAGAGCAAGGCAATTATGGAACAGATTTGAACAGTTTGATTAGTAGCTAGAGGACAGCAGTTGGGTTTCATATATAAAGTTTTCTGTAGCTACTGCAGATCTGGAGGATGCTTGACAAAGAGAAAAAGGTTGTTTGTAGGTGCTTAAAGGGATTTCATCCCAACAGTGAGAGACTGGGAATGACACTGAGTGTTTTCATATTTTGCTTGCTGCATTATTAAGCTTGTCTTAAAACTTGGTTTAGGTCCTGAGACAGATGCGCAAGTTGCCTTGGCAGGACACAGAAGTAAAAGACTATGTTATATGCTGCATGATCAACATCTGGAATGTGAAATATAATAGTATTCACTGTGTAGCCAACCTTTTAGCAGGGTTGGTCCTTTATCAGGAAGATGTTGGAATCCATGTGGTGGATGGAGTGCTAGAGGATATTCGACTAGGAATGGAGGTAACCAACCAACGTTCTCAATAAGCTGTACTTATTTTGAAAGGAAAAGAGTAAAACAACCTTGCTTAAAGAAGGGAATCCTTGGATTTTGGATTTTTATCTGATTTTTCTACCTCAGTTGTTTATGTAGGTTATTTTAAATTAAAACCCCCACCCCCCCAAAAACCCCAATAGATTGTTTTGCCCTCCCTTGTCATAGTAAGGGCACACAATTTATTCTTCAGTGTGGTCAGATTCATGCAACTTTGTTTTGATAGATGTTATAAGAATTCTCTGGACAATGAAAAATCATCACAAGTTTAAGAGTTTATGCTAAATGTATTTAAACTTTATAATAGCTATAAGTTGCCCTGCTTTCATATCTACTTTTTGTGTGAAGTGTGTAGCCATAAATAACCAACTTTTATTATAATGAATTCTGTCAAATTTTCTATACTGCTTTTTTCTTTACCAAACAACAAACCTTTTACAAAGATTCTCTTGGGTCTGTGTGGTAAAGTGAATTTTTTGTTCCTTTTTTTGATAAAGGTGAACCAGCCAAAGTTTAACCAGCGGCGGATCAGCAGTGCAAAGTTCTTAGGAGAGCTTTATAATTATCGAATGGTGGAATCAGCTGTAATATTTCGAACTCTCTATTCTTTCACATCGTTTGGTGTGAACCCTGATGGTAGTCCTAGTCCACTGGACCCTCCAGAGCACCTTTTCAGAATCAGACTAGTGTGTACTATCCTTGATACCTGTGGGCAGTATTTTGACAGAGGATCCAGCAAACGAAAACTTGATTGCTTCCTTGTATATTTTCAGGTATTCTAAACTAAATTTTATATAGTTCTGTAGATTTCCTAAAAAAGCTAATGTAATGTTGTGTATTTCTCACATTCTTCTCTAGCACTGTAATTTTCAGAATCCTGTCTGATACTTTTCTTTTAAAGTGATGTATATGTTCAGTTATATGTAGATGTTGTTGTTCCAACAAACTTGCAGAGCACTGGGGTAGCAGTTGATTCACTGAAGGGTTTAGGTTTCCCCCTTCATGTGGTCTCAGCAATGGGAAGAATGGGCTGAAACCTTCTTAGTTCCAGCAAAGGTAACAGGTCTTCTAGTTGGGATGGAGAAGCTCCATGCAGCAAAATAGCTTGGCACTGACTACTTAGAAAGCAGCTTTGCAGGAATGGAGCTGGGACTCCTGAACTGTATGAACATTACATTAACTTCTGCGCCATTAGTGCAAAAGCAAGTGCCTTGGAGAGAATTAATTTTCTTGAAAATTCAATTGAAAGCTGGCTGATGAAGTGCACATCTCTCATAGAAAGTGTCTACTCTTAGAAGGCACTTTTCAGTGCTATTTTCTTTTGCTTAGTCTTCATACTTTTAAGTTGTTATAATAAAAGGAGCATATTCTTCATTTATGATACCCAGTGAATCAAACAGTGTTTAGTGATATCAAAATATGTAACAGTTGTATGAAATAGGAAAATAGTGATGTAAAGTCTTTTGCATTTCCTGTTGTACAAACATGGGCGAGCATTGCAAATTTCCTAAGTTAAATAGTTTATAAATGCCAGTGTGGATGTAATTTATTTGAATATTTTGTATTCTAGCGGTATGTCTGGTGGAAAAAAAGTCTGGATGTTTGGACAAAAGACCACCCATTTCCTATAGACATAGACTATATGATCAGTGATACACTGGAACTGTTGAGACCAAAGATAAAGCTCTGCAATTCTCTGGAAGAAGCTGTCAGACAGGTGCAGGATTTGGAACGAGAATTCTTAATAAAATTAGGTAAGAAAATGTGCAAAAGAAATGAGGCCTTTTTGACAATTCCTGTGTTAAACTTCTTTTGTGTTATGATGACTGTTGTTCTCATATAACCTTTATATTCTCATAACATAGTTTTCCAACATTGCATTTTTCTGATCACCGTAGAGATCATATAGAACCATAACTCTAAAGTGATTGAGTGTTCAAAAAGAAGTCAATATGAATACTATTAGTATAGTAGTATATAATGTGCATATATATAGTACACATGTAATACAGTAGTATTTGAAGAGTAATGTATGTGTATATTCGTATGTGGATTAGTAAGGTGCAAATGATGAGGAAGAAAATAAAATTTCATCAGAAGAATTTAGGAAGCATGGTGTAGTATGAAAAGCAAGGAGTATCTGCACACCTGATTACTGCAGCCTGTTGATTGGTAAGCACTGGTGGAAGCAGCTTGGTCATTTTGGTAGATTAGTTGCTTGCAACTCTGTTCCTTCCTCAGTTCTTACTGATTAAAAGTGCTCTATCAAAGCAAGCGTTATTGTAAGACTACAGTAAAAGGTGTAATGTGTTTTGCTTTTAAAACACTGTCAGGTACTTTGAGCCTTACACTTCCTTTGGAATAATTCTGAATGGGCTTTACCTTTCAGTAGAGCCCAGAGGATAATTTACTTTTATGAGTTAAAGCAGGGTTTTTCTTCTCAAAATGTATGTCACCTAGGTTGCATGCTGGCTTGTAGTTCCTGCTAAGATTACAGTAAGATATATATATATATAAATAAAATATAGATCTTGCTGTGTTACAAATCAGTTAATTTCAGGAGAAAAGTCTTGCAGCACAGCTCAGTTGACAAGATACTGGTTGGCATGTATCTAAATGTACTATCATCTTAATTTTTAAACCTTTTGTACGTATCAGTTCTTACCAATTATTAGATACTGTTGCGCTCATTTCTCAAAAAATTGAGTTGTTTTCAAACCTTCCATTTTTATTTGAAGACAAGCTTGTTCATGAAAAGTTTTTATGTGTAAATTTTACACTTTGTGTAAATTAGAGCCTTCATAGCACTTAGAGTTGCACAAGTTCAACTTTTAAGAATAATCCTTTAATCTAGAGTGATGATGAGGACATGTCATTGCCAGTTAAAATGTAGCAACTTCTGTTTTAGAAGGAATTTATTTTATTAATATGCCCTTCATTTAATGACATGCCTTAAAATTACCTATGTAGTAACTGAAATGCAGATTAAAGTTTCCTTATGGTGTGATGTAAATTACTAGCTTCTATGCTGTCAAAATTATAATGAAGTAGTAACAACCATTTACATGAAGTAATACTCTTCTGAAAGATACTCAGCACTTCCTACAAATCATAAGAACTTTGCTACCACTACAGCAGTTGGATTAGGTGCAGTTAAGGGGGAGATATGCGGTCACTAAATGTGAGAGTGTTGGAGAACATCTTACTGTGTGTGCTTTGGCACAAGCAAAGCCCATCAACAGTACAGCCTTTACTGTAGGGGGTTGCGTCATGTCCATCCACCCCCAAGTGTGTTGCTCTTCTTGATACTGATATTACTGGCTTGCTGTTAAACGTCAGTTTAACAGTTTCTGGTCCTCCTATTGGGACTGTCTGAAGGTGATCTCAGGAAGATCCTCATCTACCTTTCTTATCTTTGAAGGTTACGATGATAGGTACAAGCATATCTGAAGGAAGCAAGTGTTTAATACTTCAGCAAAAGCTCTAGTCAACCCACAGTTCTTGATCAGTTTGTCCCTGCAGTTTCTTTGCCCATGGACAGTAGCACTGAGAAGTTATTGTGCTAAAGACCATAATATGCTTTGCTCTTTGTCAGTCAGAAGTGAATTCTAGGCAGAACAGTAGTTTGTTGCCTGCAGATCTTGCACTGGGGACTGATTGTTTGTTCCTGTGCTGCTCTGGTGATTTTGTACTGGTGAGAATATAATGATTCAAAAGAATCTTGCATGATTATGGAGCAGCACATATTTTGAAGTGCACAGTGTTTAAAAATAGTGAAGCTAAGAAGAATGCTTTGAAACTTCTGAAATATGGAGGAGTAGTGTGTTAATACAGAACTGAAATCCTCCACAGCCATTGGGTTTGTAAAGTGGTTTCAAAACTGTTATTTAGCAGCAGTGTGAAGTACTGGATCCAAGACTGAAGGGGATTGATATCTTTTGAGTTATGCTGATTTTGTAGAGTGTCTGTAGTTTAGTGCTCCTATTTCAGTGCAAGTGTCGGTAAGGTTGCATGTTTAGTTTGAGGCTATTCTTGAAGCAGTTCACATAGAACAGCTTCTTGATTGCTGTTCTGTGGGAGATTTTAAATATTTTATATAATACTTTCCTCCTTTTCTGGCAGGGAAACTATTACTCTTTATGGGTAAGGTGACTATATAGAAATTATATTATTATATTTGGGAGTTGAATATTAAGACCCATTGGAAGCTTTAGTGTTCAGTGAAAATGGACTTTCAAGATGATCTTCCACATACAACTTGAGCAGTTATGTGAGTTCTAATGTTCTAATTCTTTCTCTTTTTCAAATTTCAGGAATTGTGAATGACAAAGATTCCAAAGACTCCATTACAGAAGGAGAGAATCTGGAAGAGGATGAAGAGGAGGAAGAAGGTGGAGCAGAGACAGAGGAACAATCTGGAAATGAAAGTGAAGTAAATGAGCCAGAAGAAGAGGTAAACTTAATAATTTACCTTGCCTTGCATAAAAATGAGTAATCAAAATATTGAAAACACCACTTCCTCAATACCTTCTATGTCACTGAGTTAAAAGGTGAAATGTGGGTGTACACAGCCCAATCAGTACTCTGAGGATATTTAGATCCTAGTTTTGTATATATGGAAAACTGAATACAGAGTATCTGAGGCTTATTCTAGAGAACTTATGTCAGAAGCTTTAACCTGACAGCTTTACTCAAGGAATGTGATACTCAGGATGATAGGTTGATTTGGGTTGGAACGGGCCTTAAAGATCATCTAGCTCCACCACCCCCTACCACAGCAAGGGACACCTTCCACTGGAGCAGGTTGCTCCAAGCCCCTGTGTCCAACCTGGCTTTGAACACTTCCAGGGATGGGGCAGCCACAGCTTCTCTGGGCACCCTATGCCAGTGCCTCACCACCCTCACAGGGAAGAACTTCTTCCTCATGTCTGATGTAAATCTCTCCTCTTCCAGCTTAAAGCCATTCCCCCTTGTCCTGTTGCTACACACCCTTGTAAAAAGCCCCTCTCCAAAATTTTTGCAGGCCCCCTTTGGGAACTGAAAGCTGCTCTAAGGTCTCCCCAGAGCCGCCTCTTCTCCAGGCTGAACAAACCCAGCTCTGTCAGCCTGTCTTCATAGAAGTGCTCCAGCCCTCTGAGCATCTTTGTGGCGTCTTCTGGATGTGAGGCTGCTCCTCTGTGTCTGTAGATGGCCTCATCTACTCAGTCTTCCTGGTTGGGTGGCCCCGCTATTATGTCCCATTTTCATGCCCTCCCTTTAATCCTGACCCATAAACTCTTGGTTGCTCCTTATCCATCTCTAGGCAGAACTCCATCCCATCCCTTCCAGCTGGTCATTGACACAGAGGGAAACACCCCTTCCCTGTCTTCCCTGTCTGTCTGTCCTGAAGAGCCTATGTCCTTCCATTCCCCCACTCCAGGCATAGGAGCCATCCCACCATGTCTGCATGATACCATGTCTCTTAACTCCTCTTGTTTGTTCCCCATGCTCTGTGCATTTGCATAAATGCATTTAAGCCTCTCAATAAAGAGATGCCGTTATTTTCTGGCATGGAAACGCTCAGATAATTTTCTTCATCTGTTGTAGGAGCAAATGTATTGACTAGATGTCAAAGCAGTCATGCTGGAAAAACAACAGATATTCAGAGTATGACTGTTTAATGTGAATAAACAAAAGATTTATGGAGCATAACAACCTTCCTTGTTTACTGTGCCAATAATATTTTCTATCAGTAATGGTGGAGCCAATAAAGGAAAGACCTGTACATAGAAATTCTACTTTGTCACTATGACACACCAAAGTTGATGTGATAATGGTTGTGTTATGAGAAAATCAGTTCATCAAGGAAATAGGAAACGCTTTTTCTCCTTCTGCTTGGGTTGGTTGGTTTTGTTTGGTTTGTTCTCAGCATTCATGTTCCTGAATTATGCTGGTTTTTTGCCTTTGTCCACAAATTAGTAATATCATTAGAATCATAAATTCTGGGGTGTGGGGAACGAAACTGGAGATCATCTTATCCAACCTCTCTTGCTCAAAGCAGGGTCATCCACTGCAGGTTGCCTGAATCCAATCAAGTTCTGGATATCCCTAAGGATGGAGGCTCCTTTCCAGGCAATCTGTTGCAGTGGTAAAACACCATCATAGTAAAGAAGCACCTTTTTTTATTAAATTTAAATTAAATCTTTCAATTTGTATCTATTGCCTCTGTGTCTGTCACCAAGAAGAGATCAACTCCCCCTTTGCTCCCTCACTTCAGGTGTTACACAAATTGAGAAGATCTCCCCCACCCTGAGTCTTCTGTTCTTCACGTTAAACAAGGCCATCTCTCTCAGCCTCTCCTCCTGTGATAGGTGCTCCAACCCCTTAATCATCTTCATGGCTTGTGGCTGGACTTGTTCTACTATGTCCATATCTGTCTTGTACTGGAGAGCCCAGAACTGAGTGCAGGACTTCAGATGAGTCTTGCCAGTGCTGAGCAGGCAGGATCACCTCCTTTGACGTGTCAACAGCACATATTCTTAGTGCAGCCCAGGATGCAGTCAGCTACCTTTGCTGGAAGGGGGCATTGCTGGTTCTTGGTCAGTTTGTTGTCCACTAGGACCCCAGGTTCTTCTCTGTGAGCTGCCTTCTGGATGGGCAGCCTCTAGCCTGTACTAGTGAATGAGATTATCAGTCCTCAGGTGCAGGACTTTGCATTTCCCTTTGTTGAACTTCAGGAGTTCTTGTTAGTCCATTTCTCCGGCTTATTAAATTCCCCGAGTGGCAGCACAACCATCTGGTCATCAGCCACTACTCCCAGTTTTCTGCTATATGTTTGTGAAAATGCTGGATAAAGCCCAGTGAGTTCAGGCAGAAACATTAACTACAAAACATAAGCAAGTTTACAAAGACTGAACTGAACAAGTTTGGATGGAGAGAAAGGTGCAGAGAATGTGTATGAGGAATGGGATGCAGGTGGTCTTTTTGGTTTAAAATAGTCATAAGCTGTTCATCTAATATTTCAGGAGGGCTCAGACAATGAGGAAGAAGAAGGTGAAGAAGAGGAGGAAGAAAACACAGATTATCTTACAGACTCCAATAAGGAAAATGAAACCGATGAGGAGAATACAGTACGTGTTGTAGCTTTAGATAAGTGTATTCAGTTTTGAATCTTTTAGTTGTCTTTACTGACTGTTTTTTGCCAGTGCTGCTGTTATGAGTGGGAAAACACAGCTAGAACACTCCCTGCTGTTCTTTCAAATACATTTTAGAGCTTATTTTTGTTTTTTTGCAAATTACTGTTGTTACCTGTTGAAAATATTTATGTTTTCAACTTTTACCACAACGTGTTTTCACATGACTGTGCACTTTCACAGGTAGCTAGAATGGAAAAAGATTGCATAAATGGTGGTTTTGCAATGCCAGCAGTGGTAGCAAACTGATATGGTACAGTAAGGTAAACTATTTATACTCTACTAGATCTCAAAACTGAGAAGAAGGTAAACCAAGAAGTTCAGAATTCCTAAAATGTGAATTTGGGATTGGCAGATTGTAACATCTGTAGCAAAGGAACCCATCTGGTTGAGCCTGAATTGCAGTTGAAAAGTAACGAAAGTATAGAACGTGTTTAAACATTTTTGCTGTCATGTTGTGCTTTCCAGATACAGAATGACAATATTTTGTCTTGAAAAGACCATCTAACTTTATGGAACTTAATGAAAAAATTAGTTAAATTAGTTGTGGTAGGGATTTTCCTTACATTGTTGCCATATCTAGGATGTGTACATGTGATTCTATACACCCACACTTGTATGTCAGAATACTGAGTGGGCAGCCTTTGTAATAATTGATGCTATAAACATCAGAAAATATGTCTTCAAGGAAATAATCCAGGCTGAAAACTGTAACAGTTTTTGTTTCAAGATTTTGGTTCTGTATGTCAGGGAAGCAAAACTGATATTTTCCCACTTCTAGTCTGAATATTTATATTTCTGAAATTATTGTAATAGAAGCTTTTTTCCCACTGCAATAGGAGGTAATGATTAAAGGAGGAGGACTAAAGCATGTCCCTTGCGCAGAAGATGAAGACTTCATTCAGGCATTGGATAAAATGATGCTGGAAAATCTTCAGGTATAAATACTTATTTTCTAAAGTTAATATAATCTGCTGTCCAGTTAACTGTATTTAAGTAAATAAGTGATTAATGCTTATCTTACCATATTAGAGAACATGGATTTTTCTCTTAATTGTGGCCTCTTCTCTGCAGTTGACATATTTGGATAAGTAGCTTTTAGTAAAATAGCTGTTTATTGTATTTGCCCGGTGAATATATGACATGCTGACATATTTTACTGGATGAATAACTCCATGAGATACTGCGCAGTGCTTTGGACCTTACCCTAGACTATCCAAGCCTAGGTTTTAACATATTTATAATGTATCTGCATTTAAATGCACATAACCTTCAAGTCCTTTTTTGTTTTGTTTCAGTCACATTTGGTAAATATTTGAGTAAAGCAAGCCCTGGATGAGGAGTGCATTAATAAGATGCTACGAAAAAACCCTCTTGAATGTATAATGTCCATTCACAAGTGTGTCTAACCAACTCTTTAGATTTCCTTCCTTAAAAAGTTGTTATCCAGAATTCCTTTAAGAAGTATTCTGTCCCTGTAGTTTTCTTCTTCACAAAAAAGGAAACCAAAGGAAAATGTAATAAAGCCTAATATATGTATTTATATATTACACTGTTTTCCTGGAAGGTTATACCTTTTTTCAGTCATGAAAATAAGAATGTTACCAGACTGACTGACACGTTTAGCATCTGATCATTCATAGAATTTACTTCTTTTGATAATAGCAACGGAGTGGTGAATCTGTTAAAGTACATCAGCTGGATGTTGCTATTCCTCTCCATCTGAAAAGTCAGCTCAAGAAGGGTCCCCCCCTTGTAGGTGGGGAAGGAGAATCTGAGTCTGGAGACACAATGCCATTTGTCATGTTAACACGAAAAGGCAACAAGCAGCAGGTAAGGTTTTACTTAAGGTATTGTTTAATAAACAAAACCTCTTTTGAAAGTCGCACTGTGACTGGAAGTCACAGGATTTTTTATTTCTTCATCCTTTTCTCAGAAGGGGATACAAACAGTTTTGATACATAGAAAATACCATATATAGTTTCTTGGAATCTTGGTTGCTAATAGAAATCATGTAGAAAAGCTTTGTGGTTAAATTATACCATTACTAATCATGTTTGGCAGTTACACCAGTAGGACAGAGGTATGTCTTACGTGGATTTGAAATACAGATGTGGAAGATAACTAGATGCAGTTGGTGGACTGCAACTGAATGTTGAAAGGAGTCGGAGGAAAAAAAGGAATATTTCAGAATCTTTAAAATTCTACAGATTTTCTGAAAACACTTTCAGCTTCAAGTCAAGATCTATGGTGTTTGCTAAATTCCATTTCCCAAGTAACTGCCACTTGGCTGAATTTGTTCAATTTGCAAAGAATATAGTTATTTCTGAAGATTTTTAGGGGATTATTCCAGAATGCACTGAGTGAATCTCTCAGAGAAACTCAAATGTAAATCAGGTTGATAAAACAAATAAGCTCTTTGCTTCATGCAGCCAAGCTATATATTTGTCTTGGCTCTTTTCTCTAGTACATATTTGAATTTTCCTAGGTCAGCAGATGCATAGTATACAAATCAATACCTAACGCATTCCAGATACATTTCTCATCATGGTTTAGGTGTTTTTAAAAAAAACTTTTCATTTTGGTTCTATAAATTGGTGATGAAAATTAATGATTTAGCTTAATCAGTAAGCAAACCCAAAGCATTGTTTCGTTCCCTGCATCTGTGCCTTTAAGTGTTTGGATCTGTGTAGTACTTTGGTTGTGACCGTAGTGTAACAGTTGAGGTGTATGAACATGAAGCAGAGTCTTTCTCTTACTTCACATGAAAGACACTTCAAAAATTCCATGTAGAAGGTGAGATGGTCTCATCTCATGAAACACTTGAACTAGTGAATGTGTGCTGTGCTAAGCAAGTGCTTTGTGTAAGTGGCAATACCTACTTGAGTGGGCACACACATGCTTGCATTTACTAGTGATGATTAACTGATTTCCCTACTATATTAGTTAAGTTACTCTGTTTTCCTGGAACTTGAATGTTGTCTACAAAGTTCTACAGAAGTTTTGAGTGGGGAATTTTAACTGTTGTTGTTAGGCTAAAAAGAGATTTAAGAGAATGCTGTTTAAAAAAGCTTTTCAGCTTCTTCAGGATAATTTACTGGGAGTATCTGTAGCTACCAGGAATTTTAGTATCTTCATTTTCTGTGTGAGGGGAAAATATTGCCAACATGTGGCTTAAAAAGAAAGCAGAACTTGTTCAGGAGTTTTCCCTGTTCCTCCCCCAGTATTTGGTTTTGGGAGTAGGCTCTTCCTGCCCAAACTCCTCTCAGTGTTTCTAGAAATGTAGAAAACAGTTGCTTTATAGACAACTTCAGTTCTTGAGTCAGTGAAAGGCTTCTTTGTCCATATTCTGTGTCCAGGGGAAAAAAAGTCTTAGTAGTCAGTTTTAATAAAAAGTGAGCAGAAAGAAGAGGTGGAGTTGAAACGAAAATAATTATTCCTTCTTACAGTACTTTATTTTCAATCTGCATGAGCAGAATGCGTGCAGAGTTGCTGTGTTAGTAATTGGTTTGGTCTCTGTTCTTTGTCGGTGGTGCTGCTGCTGCTGAAGCTAGAAGCATTCACTGTAAGAAAGTAGTCGCTGATGGAAATGGCATGTGCTGTGCTTCCTTGCAGAGGTAGGAGGGTAGCTAAGGTCCAGTCACTAAGCACTCAGTTCACATGCCAGTGTTCAGCCAGGTTTTAGTGGAGCATTGTCAACTAGAGTTCTTTTAAGAAACACAAAAACAACTGACTGTTATTGGCCAGCATCATGTAACCCGAATTAAAGTCATTGCAGCCTCATAGTAACAGGGACACCATATTTTATCTTTATTGTCATACTGTGATTTACGGAAACAGGCAGTAGGAAGGATAGTGGGTAGGCCAGTGTCTTGCAGTAGATCACTGGGTTTTTCACCCACAGAAAGAGTTGTATGATGGAACTGACAACTAGTAGCAGGAAAACAGAGCATGGTTATTGGAGATCAGACTATGGCATTGTGGTTTATCCACCAATCCCATTAAGATGGTAAATCCGTAGAACAGATATAATGTAAAGCACATATTAAGCTGGATTAGGAGCTTCATGGTGAAGCTAAGGAATTCTTTTTATCATGAAATGCTGCTAATCAGTTATTTGTGTGGCTTGTGAAAAGCTCATTCGACAAGACCTGAGAACATGCATAGAGTGCTCGAGAATAAGTAACTAAAGCTTGCTTTTCTGTTGGAATTTCAGGAACTTTCATTTTTATTCTTACATACCTTAATAACAAGTTTGTATTTATGTTCAATATAATATGCTGATACCTCCCAAAAAGTAATCTTTTGCCTGATTTGTCTCATCTAGATAAATCTTCTAGTTGGCAGGGCTTTCTGTACCCAGGGTTATCTCAAGTCTTTGCAAGAGTCTGTCTTAACTGTTTCAGCCACAGTTTATGTTCAAATGCTGGGTCTGAGTAGTGGTGTCCTACGCTCATCATTCATCTGCTGCTAGTGGGGCACTACTATATAACAGATACCTTGAAACTGCTTACTAATTATTGTGTTAAACACTAACCATATGCAGTGAGGATTTTGCTTTTAATATAAATCTTCTCAGTAGAGGTTTTCGTAATGTATCTGTCTGCAGCTTTTGGTAGTGTAGCAGAAAAGAACACTTAGAAATCTGCTCTACTTTTATGTCAATGGAAACAGATTTCAGATGACAAGAGCAAGCAGCAGGATTCAGAGTAGTTCATGGAATATTGAGTTATCCTTAAATGCATTACCCTGCTTACAGCATGGAAATATTTATTTCTAGTAGACATGCAGCTGAATGAAGAAGTTACATTTTTCTAAGTGTGTTCACTAACTTCAGCATTAAGGGGTTTCTGAAAACTCTTCTTTCAGTTGCAAATAAGATTAAGAATCCCTGCTTTTTTTTTTTTTCTTTGAACAATTAAAAGCAAAATTCTATGGAAAGAAAAACTTGGATTTTCTGAGTCGGGGTGGGGGGGGAAGCATTTTCCCTACTCCTCTCTGAAAATCTCAGCTATGTTGTGTGGCGGGTACTTTTGTAGGAGTAGAGCCAAGCTTACCTTTCATGTAGCTTATGGCAAATCAGATAATGTATTGAGTGTATAGTGTGGATGTTTGAGTGTGGGGGAGGAAGAAAAGGTTAAATTTGACACCACAGTTGTTTCCAGACTAATAAGCACTGTGGAGGTGGAATCATTGCTAAAAGGAAAAGTAGCAGCCAAGGAGTGCTGTGGGATATCTGCAATGCTTGAAACACTTCTCCTCTGTTACCACAAGAGGTAACAGTAGAAACTCTGCTCAGGAGTTTCATGTCTTTGGAAGGTAGAGACCTTTGGAGGATGATGCAACTTTGAGCCAGCTGCAGTGCTTTTATCTCAAGACCAATGTAATTCACTCTGAGGGTATTGGGTTCTATGAATATATAAGAAAGTAAGCATATAGTTACGTGTTCCTGGTGAAAGTTAGGGTTTTTTTTCTATAAATACTGTATGTACTAGTGTTTTGCCTTAGCGGTGCATCAACCTTGTGTATGTTCTCTGTATCTTTAGGAGGGCTGGATGTCTTGTATTTCCTCATGCATCCATATGTGAAATACAGTTTTAAACCAACAACACACTTTCCAGTAAAACTTCGGTAGAAAGCATCTCATTCCAATAACCTGGAAATACCTATAACCTTTCCGTATTTTGGATTGTTTTGTGTTTGTGGGTTTTTCTGTGATGAGCACTTTAAAACTTATTTTCACTTGCAGTTTAAGATCCTAAATGTACCAATGTCTTCCCAACTCGCTGCAAACCACTGGAACCAACAGCAAGCTGAACAGGAGGAGAGAATGAGGATGAAAAAGCTCACTTTGGATATCAATGAACGGCAAGAGCAAGAGGACTACCAGGGTAAGAACATTACCAAGTCTTTAATCTTTATTTTCTGAGGAACTTTTGCAGATCTACAGAAAATACGCTTTGTGATAATTAGCAGTGCAAGTTTTGAACACTGGTTTGTAATACTTCATGGAAAACCTGTGTTTTAGTTTGTCATTCATTATTTACACCCTTGTCTCTGTGCTTGAAGGAGTTTGTATAGCTCTTCCATGAAATTGAGTTTTCAAGTGGCCCTGAAATTTCAGCATTTCCATTTATTTTGGGAAAGGAGAAAAAGGGATAACACATAAGATAACACAAAATTAATCTGATGTTTGTGGCATTGTCTCCATTACTGCAAGACAGCTGAGTAGGATACAAGAGGAATTAATTCTGTGCAACTTAAGCTCTGCTTTTTAGATATTGATAGGTATTTTAGATATTAATAGTATTCAGGATCTTCATCAGTCTTGCTGAGACTTGCAGATACTAAGAGGTAACCTTCACCTGAGAAATAAAAACTGTCTCTGCTTCCTATTGCTAAAGATTGTAGGGGTGCTACAAATCTGGAGCACAAGGCTATATTAACAGAGTGAATGTTTCATACAAATTGATATGACCTAATTTGATTTGTAAAGATAGGTAAGTCTGGCATTTTGGAACCTGAACAGACTGACACAAATGGTTAATACAACAGATTATACAGCCCTAAACTGGTTTGTGTGCTTGCTGTGTTTGGTTGTGGGGTGGTTTGTTTTGGCTTTTTGGTATTGTTTTTACTGTCTGGCTTACTCAGATAGTAAACAAAAGCCAGACCAATAAAACCCATGGTATTCAGCTCTTAGCATTTCCATTTAACATCTCCACTGTTTTGGTAAAGGTGTTGCAGTCAGGTGGCAATTACAGTATAAGTAGTTCATTAGCAGGAAATCTCATTTAAGGTATTTAGTGAAAGGTCATTATTCATCAAGAAATGGGAAATTTAAATTAAAACAGCTCTAATTCTAAAGCCACTATGGAATCTATTCAGAACATGGATAGTACAACAACTAAACTTGTAAGCTAAAAAGGGGTCTTTTTCCAGAGTGTCTACAGAGCTCTGGAATGGTAACACAATATATTCTTAGTATTAAACATTATAATCAGCTTAAAAACTTCTTTTCTGAGGCACTCCCCTCTAATAAAGCCCACTTGTGAAAAAGGAAAAGAAACAGTAGACTCTAGAATTAGACATTACAGTGCTTTTCTCAGGCTTGTTGTGGGTTTTCCTCATTAATGGTATTTCTGATACTTCTGCTGCTCAGGGCATTTGGATTTTTTGCCTTGTCATATGACTTTGTTGGTATCTTTAAAATTGCTTTGTTTAATATAAGATTTTATTGTGAGCAATTGTGCTTCTTATCCAAAAACAAGGATCATACTGGTTTTGTCCAGGAGAAGTGAATCAGGAACTGATCCCCATTGAGAACAAGTCAGCTTGCAAATAAACCATTTATTTTTTTAACTTTCTCATAGATTTTCCAGGTGCTGTGTCCAAAGAATTAAAATAGGAGGAAAATCAACATAGAAGAAGTAGGTTTTCCCATAATTGACATCCATTTTTTAAAACAGCTGTTGATTTGGTTTTTAGTAATTTGGGTAATACACAATAAAACCAAACTAAAAGGAACCATTTAATCAGGTTAAATTAAACAGACCAAAATACATTCCTCTTTGAAGCTATTTTTTATTTCTGTTTTGTGCAGTTCCCTGTTGCTTTCCTGTAGTTGGCGTGTACCCGTTGAAAGAAAGAGTTGGGTTTACATTTCTGTTTCAAGCTTTGGAGTTAGCAAGGGAGGAAGAAATCTTAATTTCTGAAAGAATGCCTCAGAGTTGTCCTATCATTTGCACATACATTTGGGTTGGGGGTTTCTTTTCATCTGCACAAGGTAGCTGATAGATGAAAATTCACCACTCAATGTAGTATCAGATGGTTATTTTATACTTCAGCAATGTTTATTAGTATTACAAACATTTCTAACTTAAAGAAGTATTTGGAACTGGGTGACTCTAGACTAGTGTTTTTCTGTGTAGATACTTATTTTCTTCACAAAAACCAAAGATGGGTGACATGCCTTCAGCCGAGCTAATACATGGTCCTCCCTTGCCATGTCTTCCTTCTGTTATCTTCTCCATTACTCAACTTCTCAGTTACTGACTTTTCACAAACCCTGATATTTTCTTTCACCTGCAGTTTGGAAAACAAGAGACAGGCAGGCACATGCTTAATGCTTCATTGCACCTGGCTGGCAATGAACCATAAACTCATTTTTTTACTGAGTCTTGTCATTGCCAGCAGAGCTCTCCCTTGGCATACAGAATTGTTTTGAAGGATGGTATTTCATGATGTTTACAACGCTGGACTTATCAGTGTGTTGAAGGGCTTGCTTTGCCCTTTTCCAGGTGTTGAAAGAGGAATATACAGAGCATGAATACATGGTTTATTAACTGTTGACACCAATATTGTGTATTAAGTCATTCATAGATTCCCAGTGTCCTTAAAGATTGGGTAGATAACTTACCAAAAACTTTGTTTCGTAAGTGGTCAGAGAATCTCATTAGTCTCTAGTTCTGCAAGTCATTGTGAGAGTAGTGGAAGTTCATTTCTAGCAGATGATGGGTATGTGTTGCCAATGAGATTACCAGAGATTAGAGAACCAGACAGAGCAGACTTTCAAACATAATCTGTTTAACAGTTTATTCTGCTTTTCCTCTTCATTTATTCCATCTGTCTCTTTGCTGAGTAATGTAGATTCCTGCACAGGATGGGCTGTCAGAAATACTTTCATTAGATGCACTAACATATGGGCAAGGGGTTACATGGAAGTTCCTATGATGTGTTTGTAATTATAGTGGGTACTTCATAACCAGTAACTCGGCCTGATAAAGAACCATTTTATCATTAAATCATATTTTAGAAATGAAGTTGCACTAAATGCCAAAATACAATACTTACCTAGCTTAAACTGCCCAACAGTTAGATATCCAGAGCTAAACTGTGTAGCGTAGGCTTCTTTCTGCACCCACCTGTTTCTTCCCAACTGATCATAAAGTGAAAATGTGATCCACAGGACAGTGTAATGTAGGTCAGCTGAGTCACATCTTCAGGTGTCTGCCTTCTCTGTAACAGGATCCTATTATGGGTAGCTTAGGCTTAAATAAATGACTTCTCAATCCCTAATTTTAGGACAGGTTTCTTGCTGAGTCTTTAATTGGCAGCAACATTGTCCAGGTGTTACTATTTCAGGGTAGTTTAATGTTGTGGCTTCTTTTACTGCTGAGAAGATTTGTCCCTGATCATTGATAAAGAAAGAGGTGGCTGATATCTTTAGAAATAAAAGTTCACAGCCCCTTTCTTAAGCACCTGTGATAAAAACCATCCCTGGCAGTTCTTTTTGTTCCAGAGAACACCTGGAAATGCAAGTTTGCATTATGGGGTAGTTTGGATTCGTCAAAGCTGTCTGTGCAATTTAGTAACTCTTTTAAAATTAGCTGTTGTGGAATAAACTGAGGAGTGTTACCCTGAAGCATAGCAAGGTGTAAACAAGGTGTCTCTTTATGGCAGTGAAATGTGCTTGTGTAAATTCCTCATGCATAGAATATGTATTTCACTTTGTTCTCTATGAACTTACAGAAATGTTGCAGTCTCTGGCACAGCGTCCAGCTCCAGCAAATACTAATCGTGAACGGCGGCCTCGGTACCAGCATCCAAAGGGAGCACCTAATGCGGATCTAATCTTTAAGACTGGTGGGAGGTAGGACAATATTCCTTTAACTGTGGTAATTCTGGTTCTAAGTAAGTAATTACCTTCATGTTGGAAACCAGTAATGATCTGTGTAATGCAAGTGCGGTTGGTAGTAGGTTCCTTTCTAAAGCATTCAGTTAAAACACTGAGCAGTGGTTTGTGCTTCTAGCATAGTGTCTGTAAATGCCTGCTAGACTGAGGTTTGGAAGCCAGAGGATTATCTTTCAGTTGCTAAATGGCTGGTAGCATCTGAGCCTTTTTGTAGGGTGAAAGATGCAAGTCCTGCTTTCTCGGTGAGAGGGGGAGAGGATATTTTTGAGTATCCAGAGAAATTCCCATTGTGCTTTTTCAGTTTGGTGAATTTGAGAGCTATACCTCTGAATTCGAAGCTCTGAATGGAAAGTAAATATAGTAAAGGTGGGGAAGGGGGAGGAGAACCTTAGATATGTGGTGTGCAAGAGCATAACAAAACCAGTATTAACATGAAAAGAGTCATTCCGGATTGCCTAATAGACATTTTACAGCTTTAATATATCTCAGTGTGTCTCTTCTCACTTGGGGTAAGCTTGAAAATAAGCCATTAAATTAGCCCTGCAGCACAAATTTGAATAAATGGTTTCAGGTGAAACACGAGACTGCTTTCATGTTTCTCTTTTCTTTGCAAGTTAATTTTGGAGGTGGCTGGATAGAAGCAGCAACTGGGAAGGGAGAGTTTACCTACTAATGGGTCTGTCTTTGTTAATGTACTAATCCTACGCTACAGTAGCATTGCCAACTTCTTTACTACTTTGTGGTACATTCTTATAGTCATTTAATAACTTCCCGGTGGTCACTCAGTCCACTGAGACCCTCTACAGGTGCTGACTGTACCCAAAAAAAAACCTCTTTGGAAAACAGACTGCAGTTTAAAATAAGTATTGACCAGATGTAATAATAAAATGAGCAGTGCTGTACATTTAGTTGTTTCATACCACTGTGGCCCAATACTGTTATAGAAGTACAAAATATTTGGTTACACCGAATTGCTGTAATACTTGCAGGTGTTTCAGAAATAACTATACAGTTGCCGCCTTCTTGTCTTTCCCAAAGGCCTTGCAACCTTTACAAGGAGAGCGCTGCAGTTGTTCTTTATATACAGCAGCCATATCACTAGATGTGATATTTACAGATTGTTTTTCTTCAAATGTAGTTCTTTTGAAAGCTTTTCATTTTCAACTCTTTTGGGAGAATATAATTTAGGACTTGACTTAAACTGTTCACTGTAAACTAGGTCAGGCATTGTCCAGTGAACAGTTTAAGTAGTGTTTGCTTGTTCAAATAGCTGTGCCATGCACTTGCAATTCTGATGTAGTTTTGTTTTATGTAATTCACTCTTTGTTCCATTTAATCTGTAAGCTCCTTAAAGCAGGGACCAGGAAGTTTGTTTTAGCAGGCATATTTATTTGTTGTATAGTGACTGCTCAGGCTTGCAGTCATGCCTCAGTTGAGCCATCTTAGCCTGTACTGAGGGAACGTTACTTTTCTTAACTCTAACTGAAATTAGGCATTTTAGCAGAGATAATATTATTGGAGTCTGTGGCTTACCACATCTGAAATGGATTGTCTGTCACCTACGTTATACAGCTTCTGATTTACAGGATATATTGAGGGTTGTCTTCTGACTTTGAAGTGTGAACTGCAGTCCCTGCCCAGACTGCCCTCCTGTTTTAGTGAAGAAATTACCCCACAGACTCTGAGGGCACTAGAGTATCTTCCTATTTGCCAAGAGCAAATAGGAACTGAGCTATTAATTTTAGTATCTGTTGGGAGTTTTCCCTTTCCTACGTGATAGAAGCAATTTGTATAATTACAGATGTTATCACTTAGATGATGAGTGAGCTGTGTTGTGGTGTTTCTTCTTTGTATATGAAGAAGATATGTTGTTTTCTTGCAGTAGTAACTCAAACTTATGGGAAGTAGTGATGCATGTTACTTTCTTTAAGGTATGCAACTTTTTATTCTAAATTTCCTGAGGTTAGGAATCATCTGAGTAACTACACCTCCCAGTTGATTCCATTGTAATGCACAAACCGAGAACTCTTGTGTTGCTAAACATGTCGTAAGCACCATGTTTCAAGTATCTTTTAGGAAGTTAAATCTAAATCTACTTATCACAACAGATGATTCAGAAAGTGATGAAAGCAGCGTGGTGTCCTTGTATGGTTTTGGCCTTGAACAACTGGGTCTTGCCTTGTGATTTGGACCTGATGACCTCCAGAGGGCTCTTGGAACTTAAAGTTTTCTGTGATTCTGTTTTAGTCTAATGGGTTGTTAAACCAAAACAGTCCCCCCAAAAAACCCCACAGAAGTGTTGCCTCCTTTGCCTATGATAAACCCACTGTGAGTGGAAGAATGAAGTAGTGGCTGTGGCTGTACAGAATGCATTTTGTTAAACTAGAGAGAAATCTTTTGCAGTGTTTATTTTTTATCTAGTAATGTCCTTTTTCTGTATTGAGTTCAATGCAGGGAGATACACAGGCTTTGTCAGATTTCTTGTTATTTAGCATGTGTAAAATGCTGGATCAGAAAGTGGAGTTTATTGCTGTTTATAATCACTTCCTTGTATAGCCTCAGGTTTTAAGACCTGCTAATCCTGCAAGAAGGAGATTCTTTTTGGGACTCATACATTTAAGGCTGATTGGCCTTAAAGATAACTTACTGTGATTCCATTAAAGGTAGGGTTCCTTGATTTGCTTCAGGAGAACTGGGAAGGCAACAGTTTTCACTCTTGCTTCCAGTTCTGTAGCACTTAGGCCCTAACAGAGGACTTTGGCTATGGAGCTGTTAAACTGATCCCTTCAGGAAACACATCATTCACAAAAGTAATTCTTTTCAGTGATGAGATTGACATGGAAATACCCTTTTTGCAGTTCTGCAGAACAGCCTGTCGTTCACAAAAGAGTGGTTTATATAAATGGCTTGCTTAGAAAGTGAAGTAAAGCCACATTTTATGAAATCTATTTAAAAACATTGATTGCCAAGAAAGAATCAAGTAACTGCAGTGAGAAACCTGACTATGGAGAACAGGCCTTACCAAGGGGTTCATTATCTTGTTAAGCCTCTCCTTTTTAAAAGCACTGACCTCAAAACTCACTGCTGTTCTCAAAGTATAGTGAAGAAAGAGGGACCTGTCTGCGTCAAAAGGCCGGTTGGGATGTAGACATAAGCTTACAAACTAAATCATATTCCATTTAATTGGTAGTTTGAGTTCTCCTATTTGCATCTGACTTCTCTTTATCCCATTTAATAAAGAAAAATGAAGCATAAGGGTTAATAACAGGATGCTAGGATTTTATTAGTAACATATTCTTATAATAGAGTATTGCATTAATGATGAAAAATCAGAGTATGGATAATAAGGAGAAATGTGACTTTAACATGATTTCCTGTTTCAGTTACTGGATAAACACACTTTATACATCATCCACTATGTACTTGGTGTCCATTATATTTTGAAGCTTTGAATTCACTTCTTACTGATACACCAGAAATCTTTAGCAGCATAAATCTAGTTTCTCTGTTGGTCTGAGTCTAGCTTGTTGTTGTAGCCTGTCAGTGTCGTTAACTTCAATCCAGACATTCTGGTGTTGTCATGGCACTGTCTTGAAGTCACAGATCCACCTCTTAGTTCATTGTGCAGCTTGCACAATCTTTAGCCGTCATTTTCAATTATCTCTTGTACTCTTTAAAACAAAAACAAAAGAGGGAGGTCATCAGTGTTGGATATCTAATGTTGTATTATTTTTCTTCTCCTTTTTCTTCTTAGGAGACGTTGATCCAGCAGCAAGTGTCATTTCATTAGGTCCTGTATCTCTGATGTTGTGGATAGTGGAGTCCTCCAGCGATTAAATGAGAGCAGTGGACACATCTCAGCATGTCAGTCTAGAGCGTTCAGAATCGAAACATGGGACAGGCTGGGGCCGTGGGGCAGAACAACCGCCTCCCCTCTTCCCCCCCAAACCCTCATGGAACAAGTGGAAGCTTCCAGTCATGGCCTACCAAAAATAAAAATAAAATATATAAAAAAAGCAGCTTTTTGTTACAGGAACCACCTTGAGGGTCAATCTTCTCATGAGAGCAGAAGTAAATGAAGGAGATGGTTAACTTGACCAGTGAGCAGCTTGGTAAAAACGAAGATCAACCTGAAATTCAGATGGATTATACTGGAACTGAAAAGGTCTTTTGCCAGTTTAGTATGTGGGAGAGCAGAGTTCTAAACTTGACTTAAGTTGCGTTATCTCCAAATCGAGTGCTTTGTGTTGGAAGGATTTTCTTTGGGGGCTGCAAAGCTACAGTAGAAAAACATAGAGCAAACAGTGAGGTCTAAAAGAAAACCCTGACACGGAGGAAAACTTCTTATCAAACACTCCTCAGCGAGAAAGTCTGTGGTTAAGAAATACCCTTTTGCTGCCAGATGAGCAAGAAAGAGGGAGTGGGGAGGGGTGAAACACTTCAGAGCCAAGGAGGTAAAATGTCTGTTGAGGTTTAAAATAGAATGTGAAGTTGATGAGCACAGGGTGTTGACTCGTACTGTTTGGAACAGCCTGACACCAGCCTGAGGACAAGGATGTAGTTGAGCCCATTGTATGTATCATTGAAAACCAAACCGTGCCAGTCAGCATAACAGGAGGATGTCAAGGGGTGGATCCAGATATTTTGTTGATCTTCATGGGTTGATAAGCCTCTGTGTCTATTGAAACAACAAAAAAAGTTTAAAAAGAAAAAAAAAGATTCAAGTCTGGAAACAAGTAGAATTTTTATTTTTTTCTAAGTAGAAATGAGGTTTCTTGGTCTGTTTCTGACAATCTGTTATTTATTAGCATAGGTTTTTGTTTGCTTTCAGGTAGAGGTAGTTAATTGAGTTAAGGAGCTCATCTGTATGTTACTAATTCTTTTTTCTAGCTCTTTTAAAATCCTTTTTACCACTGTTTTGGGTTTCTGCATGTAGGAAGAGACTTGTAAAATTGTAACATTTCATACAGAAATGCTGCCCGATCTTCACCAGCTTCAGAAATCTGACCTTTGCCAATGCTGCAATAAAGTGTTGTACTTTACAATTGGTGTCTGCCTTTTCACATTGATGATGTTCTTTAAAATGAGGTTTTGAAGAGTTTGTGGTGTATAGTGGGGCTGTAGCTCAAGACAGTGCTTCATACAGGCAACATAGACACAACTATAAGTTCTTTACTGAGGGTGTTGAGGCACTGGAACAGGTTGCCCAAAGAAGTGGCAAATGCTCCATCCCTGGCAGTGTTCACAGCCAGGTTGGACAGAGCCTTGGGTGACATGGTATAGTGTGGGGCATCCCTGCCCATGGCAGGGGGATGGAGCTGGATGAACTTTAAGGTCCTTTCTAACCCGAACCATTCTATGATGGCAGGAGGATTCCTGCCCCAAGATAAACACTCAAAATGTGCTTAGTAAATGCCAGATTTCCTTGCTGTCTAGCAAGGAGTTGTGAAACTGCAATTGTCCTTTCCTGTAGCATAAGCTGTTGTATGCACACAATTGCTATGAAAGATGGGACATCAACACCACCTCACCTGCCACAGCCTTGTGTTGCCCTCTTTGTATTGTGTGGAGCCAGGGCTTGTGCAGCCATGTGGTGAAACAAACCCCCAGACTGGCCTGGGTCAAAACAAGGAGTGTTGCTTCTGAAAGGAGAATTCAAGGTTTTAGAACACACATGAACAATCCAGGGGGACTTTATCGCTGTCTACAACTACCTGAAAGGAGGATGGGGCAAGATGGGGGTCGGTCTCCCAAGTAACAAGTGACAGGATAAGAGGAAATGGCCTCAAGTTGCACCAGGGCAGATGCCCAGGGCAGTTGTGGAGTCAACATCCCTGGAAGTGTTCACAAACCATGTAGATGAGGCCTTCAATGCCATGGGTTAGTGGTGGACTTGGCAGTGCTGGGTAATGGTTGGACTTGAAGATATTAAAGATCTTTTCCAACCTGGCTGATTCTGTGATACCTACTTAAAGTTGTGTTCTTTAATCACAGAATTGAGCACCAAGAGTGGAGAAACTGCAGGTGTACAGCTTTGGGTCTGCTCCTATTGTTAACGTGCTGTAACAGCAGTGCAGGATTGAGAAGCTCTGGAGTTGCTGGAACACATTTTGTCCAAGGATGTTGCTGCTCATGCTCCAGTCTGCAGAGGGCAGCCCAAAGTTTTTATACCATCACATGTAAGGAAGCAAGTACCCCAAAACTCCTATGTCCACAACTGTCTCCGTGTGCAGTTGTCCCTGTGCTTGGAGGAGGTGCTCTCAGTGCTGTGGGATGCACAGGCCCTCCAGTGAATAGCATGTTGTAGGCAGACCAGCTCTTTGTTTCAGGTGTTGTGTGATTCTTTTCATATCAATTTTTTTCCATGTCAAATTTCTTTGGTACATTTCTTAATCACATTTGTAACTGCACTCCTCCAGGAATGTCTATTCCCAGATGATTAATGCTCGTCAATTCCTAATGGTGAATTAAGCATCTAATTGGGGTTCAAGCTGAAGTCAACTTCCTTTTCTCAACATGCTGCTTAGTTTCAAAAGCATTTAATTTTCCAAATTGAATAACTGCATAAAAATGAAATATTAGCCCTGTTCTGTATGTGTCAGTCTAATGCCTTGGATGGAATTTGGATCAATGGGAATATCTTTATGTAGTTATTTGCTGAAAAGAGCTTGGGGTCAGCTGGGGATTTCCCTGACTTCAGGCTCCAGTCTAAAAATAAGGCACTCTTGCAAAGGCTTATTCCAAAGCAGCACTCCTGAGCCTGCATGGAAGTAGTTAAATCAGGGAAAATGAACATAGATGAAGGAGAAATTGTTCCATGTCCTTGATTGCGTAAAAGATCTCTGTTATCTTATCGTTCTTTGGAAAGAATTTGGACTAAAGTCAGGTCATTTGCAATTGCGTCTTCACTGCTGGGCGGCTCATTGAGCTGCCCTGCTGGCGACCAGAGAACGTGCTGCGTGATTGTACTCAGTGATTTTCTTGCTTCAGTTTTTGATGGTAGTATCTGTTCCTGCATCTCTCAAGCTTAAGGCAGGGACTGGGGGATTGAAGCCCCTCGTGTTGTAGGAGATCACATTTGTGACCACCTGAGGAACCTGAAGAAATATAACTCCATGGGACCTGATGAGATGCACCCTGGGACATCCCAGAGGCTGGAGCACCTCTCCTGTGAGGAAAGGCTGGGAGAGCTGGGCTTGTTGAGCCTGGGGAAGAGAAGGCTCCTTAAGGGGAGACCTCAGAGCAGCTTCCAGTGCCTGAAGGGGCTGCAAGAAAGGAGAGGGGCTTTGGACAAGGGCCTATAGGGACAGGACAAGGGGAATGGCTTTAACCTGCCAGAGGGGAGATTGAGATGAGCTCTTAGGCAGAAGTTCTTCCCTGTGAGGGTGCTGAGGCGCTGGCACAGGGTGCCCAGAGAAGCTGTGGCTGCCCCATCCCTGACAGTGTTCAAGGCCAGGTTGGACACAGGGGCTTGGAGCAACCTGCTCTAGTGGAAGGTGTCCCTGTCTGTGGCAGGGGTTGGAGCTGGAGGAGCTTTAAGGTCCCTTCCAGCCCAACCCATTATATGATGTATGGCATATCACTTGACAGCCCGTTTGGGCCAAGGTACTGTGTTCATCCATGCTCCAGGATGCAGCCAAGGTGGTTGGGAAGCTCTGAAATCAGAAAGTTGACCCAGAAATGTCAGCACTCAGGCAACATCTTGCTGGCACTGTTAACCATCTTCCTCTACCCTGCAGTGCTGTAATGTGATAAAGAAGAAAGGGTATAAATATGTATATTTTTCCATGAATTGCAGAGTTTTCATTTGCTATAATTTTATTAACTTTCCAGGCCCTGGGAGAAAGAAGCCCGTTGTGCTGTTTCTGTTATAGAGCTAAAAATACTGTATACAAATCCATTGCTGCACATAGAGTGCAGTGCACACACACATAACGTAAATTGATGTATATTAAGGCTTAGCAAACCCCACCTGTATTGTGGAAATTGCCTGATTTGCTCCAGTTTTCATGTTCTTTCATTTGCCCTTTCCAGCAAAGCCATCATTGTGTGCTCGGCAGAGCAGCACAGGGAGAGCTGCGAGGAGCTGCCGCGTTAGGCTCCGGCAGTTTGCTGATGCAGCTTTCTCTTTACATGGGAATACATTTGACTTTAGTAAATGCAGCACTGATCAAAAGTGCTGACCTGGGAAATAGTTCCGAATGGGCTCTGGGGGATGGCAGTGCAGCTGTTCCAAGCCCATCCCACAGATCCAACTCGGAAGTGCTGCAGCCAAGGATGAGCAGTTAGTAGTCCATAGCGCATGTTCAACCTGAAAGACTTGCGGTGCTGGTGGGACTGGCAGCAGTGTCAGCACTGCCCGAGCTGGGTCAGAGCATCACAGAGTGGTTTGGGTTGGAAAGGACCTTAAAGCTCATCCGGTTCCAGCCCCCTGCCATGGGCAGGGACACCTTCTGCTAGAGCAGGTTGCTCCAAGCCCTGTCCAACCTGTGTCACTGAGCTGCTGTTGGCCACACGCTTGTTGCTGAAATGGCCATTGTGCTTTAATGTCAGGGGGTAAAATGACAGCAGACAAATGAAAAAGTGAGTAAATAAACTTGCTAATCACTACTGTCCCTCCACAGTGGTGCTGTAGTTTTAAGACCCCACAGCCCAGCCAGGTGAGCGACTTATCAAAATAAATACAAAAATAACCATGCCATGAACCTGCTGTTGCCCCTAATAAATCCATTATTTTTCCCTTTCCTTTTGAGCTTCATCACAGATTTTTTCCACACTGAGGTTTTCCCTCAGCCACATCCCGTTCTGCTGCACTGAAGATGCTCGTCCGAGACGACGCTTCACTGTCTCTCCTCAGAACTCAACTATAAATAGGCTTTTTCCAACCCCTCCTAAGGATATCCCAGCATACTGGGAGTAGGAAACTATTTGGGCAAGAATCAAACAAGTGAGTACACGTCAAAACATTTACTTGTATTGTTCAAACTATAAACTTTGCTTTTAAGTTATTATTGTCGGGGTATGATTGTGCCATTAAAACGGTTGGTGTTAGGACCGTTGTTGGAAGAACAAACAGTGGTTTAATAAAAGACTCCCTCCTTCCTTCCTTCCTTCCTTCCCTCCATTACCTGGATCCAAGCCATCAGGCAGTTAAAAAATGGTCAAGACACTTAAAAAGGAGGGAGAAATTTGGAGTTTGCTGACGTTTAGTTGTTCTTTGAGATTTCCTGCTGGGAACAAGTCCTGGTTGGCAGCCCAGGAGCTTGAAAACTTGGCTACATTTACCATTTAATTGTTCTAGTTTGGGGCTTTTTTGCAGTTTATTGGTAGCACCTTAGGGTTGTCCTGGGAAGGACATCCCTGTTGTGCACTTATTCATGTGTTTCACAGCCCTAATGCTCATGAGCAAGACCTGGATCAATCTCAAATGCTGGTGATGCTCTTCTCCTCTGAAGGTACCATCCAGCTCCAGTATCAGCAGCACGAGGAGGAAACCAGCGGGGTGTCTGTTTTGGGTCACATGGCTGTGGTGGGGACCTGGCTGCATGCTCTGCTCCATCGGTTCCATGTAAGTTATTGAAGTTTTGGGAAAAAATACAAACTTGAAGTTTATCTTCATGGTGTGAAATTCTTGAGGTTTTTTTATCACTCCCCTTCCAGGCACTACTGCAGGCTGTTATCTTTGCACCTAAGACACTCTTTGTGCTGCCTGGTCCTAAGTCAGCTCCATCGTCTGATGGTTGTTCAGTCATCCCTGCTCTTCTATCACTATCAGCATCCTGCAGTGGCAGAGGTGAGGAGCCTCACTTCGGGCAGACAGAGCTTGTAGGAGTTTGTATCCTCCCACTTAGATAGCTGAGACTGTAAATTTCCTTCCCAGATGCTGGAATTTGAGCTCTGTCTGCATGAGGAGACTCCCCCTGTGCACTGCTCTTCCTCAAAATAGGAATGAACTGGAAGAAGACCTTAAAATGCAGAAAGCTGTATGGCAGCACCACCAAAGGTGCTGTGGCCAGTCAGGGAGTGATGCTGCAGAGAGTGATGT